CTATACATATAAAGAATGCTGTATTCTTTGAATTAAGAGGAGAGTGCTTATAAGCATATGTTGTTCTCACAGACAGGATGTCTACAGCTGCATTAACTACGAGGTCACGGGCCATTTAAAGAAACTCTATGACACTTTCAGATGCTCTCACTACATCCCACCACACCTGTGAGCTAAGTTTCAAGAGGAGTGGCAGTTATCTCCACGTATTTACTTACTCGCCTCCCTTTTCTGGTTTAATAGGAAAGTGGAAAAGAAAGCAAGGGATTTCCCTAGGAGAACAGCCGGAGCTTTCATCAAAGCCAGCACCAGAGCAGCTCTCCTGCCTGTCGCGCTAGGCCCGGCTGACCCAGAGCGCTGTGCCCGCCCGGGCCGGACCCTCCTGGGCACGCTCGGCCTCCGGTGCGGCTCCCGCAGCTCCGCCCGAGCTGCCGGCGTGGGCGTGCGGAGCCAGCCCCGCACTCCGCTCCCTGCCGGCTCCTGCCGAGCCGCTGCAACCTATCCACGAGAGCCGGGGCGGAAGAACCGGGTGAAAGAGAAGGAGCTGATTGTTTTTAAGCTACTCTCGCATGCCCTGCAACAGCAAGCAAACGAGAGTTAATTGCAAAGCGCGTCTGAGGCCATGACAACGTTTCGAGGCGACAAGTTTGCAGGAGCCGACCGGGGCTCGGCTCGGGAGGGGCCGCCGTGTTCCACCTACGCTTCCTCCCTCCCTCCCAGGGGCTTCCACGTCGCGGCTCGGCACGGCAGCCGCGGGCGCTGTTCCGCACACAGGGGCGGCTTCACAGCCCGACCGCGGCGCAGGCCGGGCGCGGGGAGCCGCGGGGGCGAGGGGCTGGGCGGCGGCCGCCGACTCACCCGCGCCGTGACCTTGTAGACGGTGTGGCCGCGGGGGTGGCGGCGCGGCTCCGTCACGGTGTAGAAGCGGGCCAGGTCGGCGCCGCGCTCCCGCGGGCTCAGCATCCTGCTGCTGCCCCCGCCGCGCCGCCCGGCACAGGCGGAAGCGGCGCCCGGGAACGCCCCGCCCCGCCCGGGCGGTGCCGGGGGCCCGGCCCGGGGAGCCCCGCCCGCCGCGGAGCCCCGGCTGGCGAGCTCTCCCCGAAGCTGGAAGTCCGCGCCGCAGGGATGAGGCGCAGGTGTCACGGCACAGACGTGGCAGGCACAGCCCGGCGGAGCCGCAGCCCCGTTCCGGGTGTTCTGCGAGGGCACGGCCGTGGGGGATTTACACCTGGTGGGGACTGACCGCCGTGCCCCTCGCTCGCTCGCAGGCGCCCGTGGCTTCTACAAATCCGTAATGAGCCCCTGGTACGCCGCTCCCAGCGTCTGCCGTGGGCTATTTTAAGCTATGCTGCCCTAAATCCATAGGCCTGTAACGCAGAAATGATTCACAGATTTTAAAGAGGAATGCTACCAGAAAGGCAAGTTTGATGGTTATCGAGTCACCATGTTTCGTGCGTTGTGTCTCCTCCAGATTCTTTAAGAAGCTGCATTTGGAATTTTCCCTGTGGATGAGCTCTCCTGCGTGCACAGGTCTGCGAAACATTTCGGTGTTAGGAAACCCTCCAGGGTTTGAGGGGCCTTGCTTCACTTCCAAGGAGCATCACTGTGCCACAAGACCTTGTCCTTTTGTAAGATTACCTTCGGTTTCTTTTCTATAATTGGCTCTGTACCAATGCAGATCTCACACCTCAGGTTGTGTAAACGGTTTCGATTTTTTTTTTAATCACTGTGTTTTCATTCATTTAATTGCAGGATATTCAAAACCACCTTTTCCTTACCAGGTTATTAATATCTCTGCTCTCATGCAAGTTTTTGACAGAAGGTATTTAACAATACTTAATCACATGTCTTTGTGAAAGATGAAAATCTCTTGTACTGAATAGTAAGTGCCTTTCCTTTAAGGAACATTTTCTTAAGAGGGAAAAAAGAGGATATTGTTTGTTAGCAGCTCACTTGTGACCCTCACTTATCTTCTGAAAGGGGGAGAACATATCTTTTACATCTTGTGCTGGTACACAGAACTTCATGGAAGTTCTGTAAGTTATCAAAAGTTTGCAAATTCAAGTACTTGGGGGAGAGAGTCAGTGAGTAACTAAAAGAGACAAACACAACAGGCTTAGGAAATGCGTGGAGCTGAAAACAGCAAGAGGCAGGGAGGGTGTTCATTTGAAGTTTGCCCAGCCCTTGCACATTTCTAGGCATCTGCTGCTACCCACGTTTAGAAAGCAGGAAACTGAGCTCAGTGGACCATTGATCTGAGCCACCGTGGCTGTTCTTATGAGCAGCATAATCAATCAAAGCATCCCTCAGTGCGTCAGTAGCCTCCATTCACTAGGGAGTTTTAAAAGCTCAAATGACTCATGAAATAATTTGGCTTCTACTTACAAATCAGAATTTGGAGATACCTAATTCTGCAGAATTATCACATGGTATCTTTTCACATGGTATACCCAACACAAAATAGCAATTAGACAGGAATAAAAAATCCACAATTAAGTATTACTGGCTTATTAAGACTTGTCTACGTCAAGGCAAGAAAATCTAGCAACACTGAAATAAGAAACAATTTGCATCATATTAATAGGTTAGTCTTTTTCTTCCATTTTGCCTGTTACACAACTTCCATGCTTTTCGGCACATCTTCATTTTCATTAAAACCAAAGCTTGTGCGATTTCTTTTTTTCCAGCATCACTACTGAGATTACTACTATGTAAAAACCTTTGAAGTGACAGATCAATTTCGGTGTCCCTGTGCAGGTCAAAATACAGAAAATAACTGCATATTATGTGTAGATTCTGCTCCTAGAAATAAAAGCAGTTGTTGCTATAGTTATGGCTTACTGTCTTTTGTCCTAAAAATACATCTAAAAGATAAGAATACAAAAACTCAGAAAAGAACAAACCACCAAAACAAGATGGTCTTGAAAATGCAGTTAGGAGATCCTTTACTACACATGTGTTATGGGGCTAGTAGTCTCACTCTCATATGGTGAAGCATCTAACAGAAAATGGATGGGTATTTTTACCTTTCACCAGTAACTTGCGTCCAAGAAATGGAAAACCCAAAGTGGATCTGACACGTTGCCTAACTCACGTGCTCATCACTGCATTATTTCAATTCCAGTCTTCTCTACCACTCCTGGGAAAACTTCAAATGCTATTTAAAGTCACTTTTATGACAGATATAAAAGGAATGCAGAGAAACAGTATTTTACTTGATTACAGTTCCTGCGCAGCATCTGCACTATTCAGCACTATAATTTTTCATATGCACAGTGCTACGTTTTCTTACAGTAAGCAGGGCCAGCATTTCCTCTGTCCTCAGAAGACCTCAAGAAAGCGTTCTAAGTGCTTACTCAAGCAACATCGGCAGAGCCAGAGGATGTTTCTGCAGCTGGTAAGCAGCAGAGGGTCTGTCAGCCAGGTCTGCAGGGCGGGCAGGCTCCCACCCATCTCTCAGGCCAGCTCTCCTCAGCAGTGCACCTTCAGCTGCATTTTAAAACCTATATTGATATACTTGCTTGGGTGAATGGGGTTTGGTTTTTTTCCTGCAAACACTAACCAAGGTGCTGCTGCCCTTGAAATATACTACAGCACCCTGAAACATAGGGCAGCTCTTTCTCAGCCCCTTTGACCCTACAGGAACACACGGTGATCCCAGGGAGAAGACCACGTATGGAATCTACCACAGAACATGCTGAGTGGCCTACATTTTCAGGTATCGTTAAAGAACACTCCTCATATCACAGCTTGCTAATATCTATTTGTTTCTTGCTAATATCTGTCTGATCCACAAAGATCATCAAAGTCCAACCCCTGGCCCTGCACAGGATATCCTCGAGGGTCACACCATGTGCCTGACAGCGTTGTCCAAATGCCTCTTGAATCCTGCCAGACTTGGTGCTGTGACCACTTCCTGGGGAGCCTTTTCCAGTGCCTTTCACGCTCTGTGCGAAGAAACTACTGCACGAACACCTCCATGTAAACGCTTCAAAAGCCCGCAATCACGCCGCTTTTGCTACGCTCGGGAGCGGGCGCGGTCCGGGCTCGGGGGCGTCACCCGCCCGGGGCCGCCATGGCGGCCGGGCCGCGGCGCCGCCCGCCCGGACTAAACATGGCCGCGGGCCCGGCCCTTGGACTACAAGTCCCAGGAGCGAGCGGGAGGGCGCGGCGAGGCCGCGGCCCGTGCGGTGTATGAGGCGGCGGCGGGGCGGCCGGAGCGCGGCGGCCGGAGCTGGCGCTGCCCTGGGCTGACCCCCTCGGGGGGTGGCGGGGCGGAGCGGGGCCGGGAGCGGGGCCCGGGCCCGCCGGGAGGTAACAGGGGCTGGGGGCGCTGGTGGGAAATGCTCGCCATTAGGCCGAGCAGGGCCGCGGTAAATAGAGCGCGGCGTGGGGTGTGCTGCTGCCGCGGGTGGGGGCTGCGGGGGTTTAGGAGGGAGCAACTTCTCAGTGCTTTTCTGTAAAACAAGCGTTCCAGGGGGGTTTTGTAAAGGAGCCATGCCTCTTTTTGCTCCGTGGTAATGCTGTGGTGTCCGGGGGGGTGTTTTGTTTTTGTGTTGCCGGACTCCATCTGGTGCGCTGTGGCGGAAAAAGGTTATTTCAGGACAAGCGGGTTTTGCTGAAAATTGTATTAGTGATTAGAGGGTGCGCAAAGGAGGGCGATGAAGATGGTGAAGGGCCTTGAGGAGAATCTCTGTGAGGGGCGGCCGAGGTCGTTTTCAGCCCGGAGGAGACTGAGGGAGACCTCATGGCAGTCTGCAACTTCCTTATGAAGGGAAGAGAAGGGACAGGCAGTGATCCCTACTCTGTGGTGCCCAGTGACAGGACCCGACGTTGTGTCGGAGGAGGTTTAGACTGGATATAAGAAAAAGGTTCTTCAGCCAGAAGGTGACTGGGTGCTGGAACAGCTCCCCAGGGAAGTGGTCACAGTACCGGGGAGCCTTTGGACAATGCTCTCAGGCACATGGTGTGTGTGTGCGTCTGTCTCAGACTCTTGGGGTGTCCTGTGCAGGGCCAGGGCTTGGACTCGATGATCCTTGCAGGTCCCTTCTAACTCTGTGTTCTGTGATTCAGTCATTAGGTATTTCAGCTTATTTGCTCGGCTGGATGAAGCTGGGAGGTTCTCACTTCAGTGCAATTTCAGGCATACCAAGCTTTGTTATCTTTTGCTTATAAGCCCAAAATACATCTTATTTAAACAGCAAGGAAGCTGAGATATTTTTATCACTCAGCTTTCCTTCCCGTGATTTTGTTGAGAGACAGATTTCTTTCTTCTTCTAAAGAAAAAAAAAAAACCAAAAAAAACCAAAAATCCCACCTTTTTTTATGGCTTTAGTTGCTGAGCTGTGGTTTGCTCTCCTGGGAAATAAATAAAAATACAGATTTAGTCTTAAGCCAGTGCTAGTGATGCCTTGAGACTTAGTACCTTTATTTCCCTGTTGTGTTGGCATTGGGATTTGAGCCAAATCAATGGCTTTCCACACAAAGTTCTGACTGTTTGCAGGAAAATGGTCGTCTCATTCCTTACAAATAGCCTTATGATAAAGTTAATGCAGCATTTACCATTTGTAAAGGTCATTCCTCTGAGCGCTTGAGAGATCTGACACTTGAATTAAACGAGGCAGAAAATAAATTGTAAATAGTTACTGAGACGGATAGGGTTTGGTCACTAAATGGCACTTGTAAATCTGAGGGGGTGAAAAGAATGCGAGATCACTTTGTAAAGTCCCATTTTGCATATAATTTAGATAACTGTTTAAATATCTTGTATATAAGTGTTTGAATATCTTGTATGCGTTAACTTTTAGAGCAAGAGTATCTTGTGTGAGTCCTGACCAGGATGACTTTGCCTCCCCAGCTTTCTACAGGCAGATGCAGTTATGTGCCAGTAACGAAACTTGTGCTTTTTTTGGTAGACACTCCATGCTGCCCCGCCATGTGCAGAGGCTGGGCAGAGACTGGATCACCCACTGGAATGGCTCCCAGATACTCGCCTTGAACAGCCCAGTTTCCAGCTGTCTGAGATGGGCAGGACACTATCCTCCCTGGGCCTCCTTTCCACTCCCTGTTTCAGCTGATTTTTCAGCAAACTGGAGATTCCCTCCATTTCTTGGACCTTGGAGGCAATTTCAGACCTGTAATTGGCATCTTGATAGCTACACACAAAGTTGTTGCTTTCACCTACCCAACCCCAGTATGAAATCTGAGGGAGAAGAGCCATTGACAAAGAAGAGAAGACTCAGTGGCCAGGATGATACTTCAACTCCTGAACAAGAAGCAAACTTGTCTAATCAGAAGGAAGTATCTTGTTTTTCTGTAGCACAGAATGAAGAAAAGCATGGCAGCAAGAAAGGTAAAAGATGTTTTTTGTTCATTTTCCCTGTTTATTTGTTATGCTAAATACACCAAATGAATTTGAGTTATGAGCAGTAGTGCCTCCTCCTTCTGAGTTACTGTTTTTCTTGGCACCCCTCTCTCTTAGGAAAGCACGTCTTTAAAATGGTCCAGTTTTGTAATGCTTGTATTACAAATACAAGCATTGTAATACAAAAACTTGTATTTTGTGCTGTCAAACAGTCTACCAGAGCTAAGTTCACTGCACTTGGCAATAGAACACAGTCAGTTGTTGGAAGGATTGCCCAACCTGGGGAGTCCTGAGCTTGGTTCAGACAACACTCTCTCATGTCTTTGTCACCAGGTCATGTCTGTTAGCTTGGAAGCTCTAAAAAGCCAAATGATTTGGCTGACTTGCTGTAGGGCTGAGCTGGGCTGGCAGTTGTATAGCTTCATTCCAGGTGCTCCACCTGAGCTCTTAAACCCTACTGGACCTGAACTGGTTTCTTTCCAGACCAGTTGAGTTATCTGTGACCTAAAAAACTGAGAATTAATGGACTGAGTTTTAATGGTGCTTGCTTCCAGTGTGATTGTATGATTTTGTTATTACAGCTGTGTTCTGCCACTGGCATGTTAGCAAGTTCTGTGTCAGATCACGTCTGACAGAGCAAGCAGCATGTGTGCTTATCCAGATAAATGCAGGAAGAAGTGCAGAATTGTCCACTGGGCTCAGTAGCAAACTTCCATGAAACTTCAAAGTGTCTGTGTTAGTTTATTACAGTTATAGTCTTGTACATAACATCCAAGTATTTTACTGAGTCTTGCATATATTTACAGTTTTGTGTAGTGTGAGACAAATAGAGGGACACAGTCAAAATTATTGTCCTCTTGCATAAATCACTTCCTTAGCAAAATAAACTGGAAATTGTATTATGGCTAAAAAGGGCAGTAGATGCTATCAGCATCCCAAAGGGATTTTTGGACACAAATACCCATAAGGCTTAGAAACATCATATTCATCTTCAGGAGCCAAAGGAAGGGACTTTAATTTATGCTTTAATTACTGAGTCCTCTTTTAACCCTGCCTGGCATACCTTTATCTGAGAGTGTGGGTGGCATCGTGGTCCTTCCCAGTCACCCTTTGTAAGGTGATGCTAATTAAAGATACCTGCTGAGGAGCAATGTGGCTTCTCTCCCCCTATAGAAACAGAGCTTAAAGCCTTGCTGTATTCATTGTAAACACTGAATAATCTAAGCACAGCAATAAAAATAACTACCCAGATAGGACAGATGGCAACAGCTGCAGTCTGCCACTGATTGTTAGCACAGGTAACTGGACCTCAGCTTGCTCTCAGATGAGATCAGATATAAAGGGTGAAAAGCATCTCTGTGCGTTTTTAAGTGGGGAAACACATTTCTTAAAAAGTAATTGGATGCTTAATGATGGGCAGATATGTTATTATGGATTTTCCTACTAATAGTAAGTATGAAATCAAAAATGGCAGAAAGGTGAAGGAAACCTTTTCAGAAGTTCTTGGTAGTTCTGAGACTTAGTAATTCCTTGATTTCTCAACTCACTAAGGAAAATTGGGTTCGTTATTTGTTTATGGATTCTTGTTTGGGATTCTTGTTTCAGCTTATGGCTGAGTTTTACAGACTACACAGGCTAGAGGTGATTGATGGATTCCTAACCCTTTGTTAGTCATGGATAGAGAGATCAACAAAGTGCCCATATGCTGCCCTAAGGAGTGTATCCCAGACTGGCATACACCATCTCTGCTGAGGAGGCCGTGGCACCAGGCAGTGTAAGACTCCCAACAGGCTGGAATTGGCTCACCAGTTTGGCAGCAGGAGCAGGGGGTGTAGTTTGATTGCAACATTCTACTTAGAACATGCCAGTTCCCCAATTTCAAAGCAGTTAAAATCCAAGGCATATAATGGTTTTGTGCTGTTTGTTTTGAAGTTGGGGGTTCTTTTGTTTTTTGTTTGTTTGATTTTTTTTTTTTAACTAATGCTTATATAAAATCCATCTTAAACAGAGGGTCTGAATCACTGCTAATTGAATAAGGTTTTCGAATTATTTAAGAGATTTGAAAGACAAATAGTTGTCAGGAGAATGATTTCTAAGAGCAGTAAGAAGTCATATGGTCTATAACATAATTTTTTTCTGCTTCATGTGCTTTTAACAGGAACCATCAAAAGACACTGGGAATATTTCTGTCAGCAGAGTAAAACAATGAAAATTGCTAAAAATAAAGGATCTGACCAAAGCAGTACGGGAAGTGAGGCAACATTTGATTTTACAGTCATGTCCTACAATATTCTCTCACAGAATTTGTTGGAAGACAACTCTCACCTGTACAAACACTGCAGGCAGCGATTGCTGTTCTGGGCATACAGATTTCCCAACATCCTACAAGAAATCAAAGAGCTGGATGCAGATGTGAGTAGAAAATGAGCACATGGATAGTTCTTAAGAACAGATAAACTGAAGTAGCAAATTCTACTACTCTGTACTGGGGTCTGAAAAAACACTGCTGTGGTTTTGGTTAGTTGTAGAGTTTATTGTTTGTTTTTGAGGACACATAAATTGTTGTAATTATAATCAGGAAGTCAAGTCAGTAACATTTTGCTTCAGTAATTTTCAGACCAACAAAAGTTCAGTGGTAGAATCCATCCTGTTTGTGTCAGAAAACAGTACTGAAAAAAAATAGTTATATTAGGGAAGCCACAAAAAAAGCCTTGTACCATTTGAAAAATGCAGTTAAGTTAGTAGGTCGCCTGGAATCTGGAAATTAAAGTCCCTTTCAAGATCTTCCTTTCTTCCTAATTAATTTATATATCCTGTATGCATATATCTTTACAATGAGATACCTTGTTTAGCTTTCTGAGAGGAGCAGCTGCTGGCAGACCCTGGTAGATGCAGGTGCCCTTTCCACAGAGAAATTTCTTGCTAAAGGACATAGATTTTTAACTATTTCATTGGTTGGAACTGCAACCTTAAGTGAAGCAGAGATTTCAGAATATTGCTTGAGATTTGACTCTCCCTTGAGACCTTGAATGAGCTAATGCCAGCTGGGCAAGTGGGATGTGTTGCTGCAGTTCAGCAAGCAGGGGTAACTTGTTCCCCTTTGGCAGCTCAGTCCTTTGTCCCAGTGGTGGTTGTAACTCTGTGTTACTGCAGTGTGCTGGGGGAAAGATCACAGATGCTCACAGATAGAGTTGGACTTGGTGATCCTTGTGGGTCCATTCCAACTCAAAATACTCTGTGTTTCTGTGAACTCTCTTGAATGAATATTTTGAGTTTGATCTTTGGTTCAGGTTCTTATAATATTGAAGCCTGTTTTCCACCTTGTAGTGCACCACTGGCCTCTTCATCTCTTTTCCCTGAGCCTTCCCCTGAACTGCTGAGAATGTAGTAGCAAGTTACTATTTTGATTAAATTTAATCTCGCCTCTGAAAATGTCCGTCTGAAAAAGAGTGTGAGGAATTGGGGCCTTCTTCATTATCTTAGTGAGCATTTTCTATAGAAGAGTGAATTCTTTTGTGGGATTATGGAGTCAAAAGGCTTCTGAGATTTTTTTTTTTAAATACCTATACAGACTGGCCAACAGAGATATGCTGTAGTAACATTTTGATGTATTTACTTACTAATATATTTTAATTGTAAACCTTTGCCTTAGGTGCTCTGCTTACAAGAAGTCCAAGAAGACCACTATAGAGCAGAGATCAAGTCAAGTTTGGAATCCCTGGGTATGATGAAACTCTTAGGACCAATACATTGTCTTCTCCCCTGCAGGGGTAACTTGTTACCCCTTGGGAACTCAGTACTAGTTTCCTCAAAAAAAAAACTCTCATAGATTTTAGAACCAAGTCTTTTGCTATCACTTGCAACAATGTTGTGTATCCTCTATCATAAATTCATCAGGTCCTCTCTCCACGCTACCTTTATCTTTTTTACCAGTATTCCTGTTGGGTAGCTCTTCAAGGGCATGGTTTTTTCTGTCTTGAAACTTTCCAGATCTCAGCACTAAATGTTATCCATGGTCAGTATATAATCATTAGGTTTTTATATGAGTGCTGTCAGTCAGTCTGAATAGACTGTCTTGTCACTATCCCTCATGTGATTTTATGGAAGGAACATGTTGCTAAGGGTTGATTCTGTGGTGATTGAAACTGATCTAAATCTTTTGTAGCCTGCTCCACCTTCGAGTCCCAAGGCCCCGCTTCCATCCTGGCGCTGGCCCTTGTCTGATGCCAGGAGGACATGGGGAAGGAGCAGCACTGGACTGATACTTTTTCTTTTTTGCTTAATTGGGGTAGTTTAGTTCCCAGAACTGAGTGTTTGCAAAGAAGAGAGTAATGGCAGTACTGATTGAAATCCACTTGAGACATGAAACAACACTGTGAGGCCATGCTTGTGAGGAGGGCAAGTGAGCTTGTAGCTACTGTACAGGAGGATCTGGAGCTTGCTTTAGCTCTTTCTTTCCCCATCCTTAGCTCCCAGATGCATGTCCTGCCCCTTATTCTGGGCTAGTTCTGGCACTCACTGGTGAAATCCACCAGTCCAGCAGAATAGTATCCAGACTCATTTTATTTTTCTGGGTTTGTTTTCTGTTGCCTTACTGAGTTAGCAGTAAGTGCCACAACAAGTGGCAGGAGCAACATGGCCCGAATCTGGGAGAGGGGAATGGGAATCCCCTGTACCAGCACTGGAGAGCTCACTACTTCACTAAGGTTGTGCTTCATGAATTCATATAGTCTGGGCAGGGCAGAAAACATTTAAAAATGGCAAAAGCTACATACTGTTTCAAGATATAAATTTTTTTCCTTACATAGATAAAGTCTTGATTAAATCTTGTTTAAATCATGTCTACATAAAATGAAGAAATTGGAAAATCACTATTTCTAGATGGACTTGCTTGAACTCCAGCTGTCATTTGATAAATGTCTCTGTTTCCTTGGTGAAAGCTTGCCACTTGCTGCTCACTGGATAATTCCATAATTATGTAAATATGTTTGAGACCTTTGTTCCATGAATCATTTTAGACATTGACTAATGACTTAGCGTGATTAAGGCTTTTGATTGGTAATGCTTCTCTAGTATTACTCTTAAACTATTCTTGTAACATCCAGAAAAAAAATCAATGCACAAGGCCACTTTTGTGTGCCTTATGGGGAGTTTCTTTGTTGTTTTGTTTTGGGTTTTTTCCAGATGAGGAGATAAGAACATGGCTGGTATCTTAGAGTATGTAGATGTTTACCCACTGCAAAAGGTATTGGACCACGTTTCCTGTCCTGCCTCGCCTCAGCTCAGATTAGGGCAGAAAGAAAAGTGAGCATCAGTCTATGTGAACTTCATACAGACTTTGGTACTTCAGACTGAGGGTTGACTGTCAATGTGAGGAAAAGCAGCATGAGATTTTTCTAATTTTTTTTGGTTTAAAATCTCTACACAATAGTATTTTATGTGTAATGGTAATGTAATTTTAAATATTTAATGTGATAGTAATAGTAATTGCCTTTCTTGCAGGGTATCACTGTGAGTATAAAATGAGGACGGGCAGAAAACCTGATGGCTGTGCCATTTGCTTCAAAACTTCCAAATTTAGCCTGATTTCCTCAACCCCTGTGGAATTTTTTCGCCGTGACATCCCACTCCTGGACAGGGACAACGTTGGACTGGTGTTGCTGCTGCAGCCCAGATTTCACTGTAAAGCCAGTGCTGCCATCTGTATTGCCAATACACACCTGCTGTACAACCCAAGGAGAGGGGACATCAAACTGACCCAGCTTGCAATGCTCCTGGCAGAGATTGCCAGTGTTGCCCCTCAGAAGGATGGCTCCTTCTGCCCCATTATCATCTGTGGGGACTTCAATTCTGTTCCTGGCTCTCCATTGTACAGATTTATAAAGGAAGGAAAGTTAAATTATGAAGGACTTGCTATAGGGAAGGTAGGCTGTGTTTCTCACTTCTCACCAGAAAAAATGGTTAGTGCTGATTAAAGAGAAATATTTGAGTGTTGCTGTGATTGTTTCCATTGCAGTGCCTCTCTCAGTGCCCTCTCTGCAGCCTGCAAAGCAAAAGTTACTGCAATTAAATAACCTTGGATATATTAGCTGTGCCTTAGGGAATATTATATCCTCCTCCAGCATTCTGAAAGGAAAAACTCACCAACAATCATTCCTGAAATGTAGTGAATCCACAGGGTGATACTATCACTGGGTTTAGATGATTTTATCACTGTGTTTAAGTGTCCTAGTCTTTAACTAGGACAAAATAACCTCTTAATCAAAAACCTACTGTGTGCTCTGTGGGAAGATGACTCTTACTGTAGATAAACTTGGTGGCTACAGTAATTGTAAAAGCAAATCTGCAATTAGATGCTGAACCTGAACTGTTTCATGTTAAAAGATGTCTTTTTGTGAGCTCTTATATGCAGCTGTTGGATGTATCACATGCTATGTAATAGGAGTGACTGAACTACGTGAAATGAGAAAACATGACCAAAAAATAGCCCTGCTGGTTGTTCTTTGCTAGTGGGGACTTGATTCAAGCCCCCACTTGCCTTGACTTGCTCCCAGAAGGATCAGCATCCTGAAGCTGAAGTGTCCGTGCTGGGTAGCTCTGTATATGCTGAGCCAGTGCCATCACATTGTTAAAAATGTCCTTGGAAGTGTCTCAATGTCACAAGAACCATCTGGAAAAATAGGGTACCTGCAAAGAACTTGCTAAGGTTAAACAGAGTAGATGTACAAAAAGGGTGTTATTTTTACAGGGATTTGACTCATCAAAGAATTATTCTAAGGGGCTGGGCCTTATTCTTTAAACTTTACAAAAAATTTTCACTTATTTTTGGTTTGTTTGGTGGGGGGTTTTTTTGTTCTGTTTTTAAATCAGGTTTCTATCTGAAAAAGCTTCTGTTGTCTTTCTTAGGTCTCTGGACAAGAACAGTTTCCAAGGGGACAAAGAATCTTATCTATTCCAATTTGGCCAAAAAAATTAGGTATTTCACAAAACTGTGTGTATGAAATAAAACAGCAAGAAAAGGAAGAAAATGCAGGTCAGTTTTTGGATTAATGAATTTTTGTGAGTATCAGGTATCATTCAGGTAGTACTGAAAACCATACGTTCTGTTTTAGTGGGGGTAAAAAGTTAGTCTTGAGCTTGCAAAACTTCCTTGTTGGAGTCATGAGAGTGTAAAATGATTTATTCACATAAACTTTTAAAATTTGAATCTTTATAAGATAATAGTTAGAAATTTCCCTTCAGGAATTGGTGTGTAATGTTTAAACTCCATGTTTGCATCCTGAAAGCCAGCTGTGCTGTGAGTGGGAAGAAGGAGGTGAAGGAATGCAGCACATGGACATAGTGTGAACCTGCATTCTGTCTCACTGTCTATGAATTATAGTATTGGCACTTCATGGAACAGTTGGGAAAAGCAAGTGATTCCTTGCTGAGTATGGCTGTATCTTTTATCCACTATTTTTTTCTTTGACAGAAAAAGCAATTTTAAATGAATGGGACACAATATAAAAGAGTCTTTAGAGGGGATGTTACTAATGGAACAGAAAAATTTAATCCGACTTGGTGAATTGCATCTTGCCTGCTACAAGTGTACTTAAAGATACTATTTTTTTTTCCTGTAGCTTTTCTGTAGCTCTTCAGTCTTGGTCTCACTTATATCTTATTTTAAATGTAAATTGAATTTTTTTTATTTTGCAGGAGAAAAATTGGAAGCAGCAAAACCGGATAATACTCAGGAGATTGTAATAGCATCTGAAAAGTATGTATTGGGGAAAAATATGGAAGCCCTTGGCTGGTTACTTGGGGGTTGGTTTTGGTTTTAGACCAAATTTGTATCTGATTCCAGCTGTGGATACCTCATGATCACCCAACCCAGTCTGTCCTTTTGGCTAAAACATAACTGTTCATTTAAACATGAAAAGGGTGATCAGACAGCAAAAGACTAGATCTGGCAATAATGGAATGTGTGTTCTTTCAGGAACTTGCAGGTGTTTTTTCAGAATGTAGGGCTGAGGTGTCAGTGTAGAGGGTACTTTTTGTCTGCTTATTAAAAGAATGCTTCTGGCATTTTTTGTCACTTCTTGACATAAACAGAACATCATCTGCTGTAGGGACATTGCAAGAAACATGTGAACTTCATTTCATTTGCAGAAACCATGTTTTTAAAAGAGGGAGAGGAAAAGAATAAACCAGTGTTGTCCAGCTGCTACAGTATTGGCACTTCTCTCTTTTCATTGTTTTTGACACACTGGTTTATGGATGTAGTAAAATCCTATCATACAGTGTGAAACTGGGATGAATGAGGGAAAGGAACTGGAAAGGTCATAAAAATCTTCCTTGTCATGAGTTCTGTGGAAAAAATTAGGTTCTTTGAGTCTGAGAAATGTGGAGTATTATGGATTTGGTAATACAACTTCGACTCAGAAGGAGGAAGCCATTGCTAGGATGCTTTTTGAAAGCAAGAATATATTTGCATTTACCAAACTGGTAAAGGCATATAAAGTAAGGCATAGAAGAAGGAAATTGCCCTAAATGTATGTATGGGATGTCAGGCTCCAAATCAGCCATTTCTTACCAGAAATGAGATCTTGGTCTCACTGCAGATAGTCATATTAGAGCTCCTGGTGATGAAAAAGGCGTCATGGCATTTCTGAGAGAAGAAGTAGATAACAGACAGGAAGCCCTATGCTACAGTTTAAATCCATAGCATGCTGAATGCTTCTTGCAGGTTTTTTTCCCTTCATCTTAAAAAGGATGTCTTGAAACAAAAGCAGAAATTGCTGCTTTTCTGTGTTGTACCAACTGGCATGTTTATCTCTGATCTGAATCAGGCAAGGTAACATGCTGATTTTTTTTTTAATTGCTTGGGTTTCAACCAGAACACATTGCAGCCCATGTTTAAAATGCAAGATGAGGCAGGTACAGCTGAGGGATGGATGATTTGCAGAGATGATGGAAGCAAATATCTGAGAGACAGGAGTTCTTTTGCTGAAAGGTGCAATTTTGCAGTTGGCTTTAAAGATTGAAAAGACAGGCGAGACAAGATGGGCTGAACTCAAGAGGAACAGACAAATGATGGGGAGACAGAAAATGGGAGCCTGAGTAGAAGAAAGACAAGCATAGCCTAAGCTGGAAGCTTGAAACCTCTAGCTTGGGGTAGGAGAAAACCTCTAAATATCTGAATTTCTCTTTTTGCTGAAGGGCCTGGTTAGATGAGTTTGTGTTTTGTTGCTGTCATATGAGCTGCTTTCATGGACATTTCTGCCTTTGTGTCAGGGAGAGATTGCTGAGTGAGGACACGTTATGCTACAGAATGTATATGGAGTTGAAAGCTAGCTATAATTCAAGTGTCAGCTAAGCCAGTTCTGATCAGCACTTCTACTTGAAAATGCTGCCTGCATTTTGCCTTCAGAGTGGCAAAATGGGATGGCTTGCAGGAAAGAAACACTGGTTTGCATATCCAGATAATTAATTCTGTTTGTAACCAGGAACTATTTGGTATTTCTTCATTGCTTATTCCTTCTTGGTAATGCAAGAAAATAAAATTCTTTTATTTGATGTCTCTTTAGGTTGTCTTCAAAATTGCAGCACCATTTTAAGTTGTCTTCAGTCTATTCTCATTACTTCCCTGAAACTGGGATACCAGAAGTGACAACTTGTCATTCCCGAAGTGCTGTCACCGTGGATTATATCTTCTATTCTGCAGCAAATGATGATACTGCTGCCCAGCCAGGTAAAGAAACCAACTTTTAATTCTCATAAATGCTAAACAAGAATATTTGTTTGCTGTTGTAAGAGAAGTGCAGTGATAATTTCATCCATGTGAAGTACCTCAGAGGTTTGTGGTAGTGCTTTGAATGTCACCTGTTACCTGAGAAATGTGGCTGGCCTTGTCAGCTCACCACAGCTGGAATTGTAGTGCCACACAGGACAATCCTTTTCATCTGACTGAACATTCCTGTACTTCCTGTCTCAGCATGAAGACAAGCTGGAGGTACAGGAAAGCAGCATCTGAGAAATACTGCTGTCAGTAGTGCAGGCCAGACCTACAGCAAGGCAGTGTTCCCAATCATCTCATCAACACAACGGTGAACAGCAATTTATGATGTGCATTAGAACTGATAAACGAACCTTTTCCTGGCAATTTACTTCTCAGCTTTGTCTTGCAGTAATTTCGGCCAAGTAAAACTCTTGGCCTTTGCTCTGAGCACGGTCACTGGCACAGGCCCAGCTGTCACTCTCCGGTTTGCAGTTGCAGCTAAAAGTCACCAGATGGTGCAAGAAAGTCGCAGTAGCTCTATGGGAATTTCGTGATGGGTATCACAGTGTTTCTCCATCCTTCTGAGCAGTTTGCTTTCCATGCCCTCACGAGTTCTGTGTTCATGCCGTCAACAAACATCAGTGCAGTGCTAGCACATAAATGTCTCTGCAGAACTTGGAGCAGAGAAACCTGGATTCCATTCCTGATCCCACTGTAAAGTGTAACTGATTTTTATAAATTAGCATTGTTTTCAGTATATGGAGTGAAAACACTGCCTTCATCTTTCATAACTTGGGACTAGATTGTTAAAATTCATTGAGTCAAATCACAAAAGTCTTATTTGTCATAGCATGCACAGTAAATGCTTCCTTAATGTAAAATGGGAAATATAAAAGCTTTGACTGAAAAACCACAATATAGGAAGTATTTAAATGACTTCTGAATGCCACATGATTTAATAGAGTGCTGTGGGATTGCAGAGTGCATCCCTGCACAAAACTTTTTCCTAATTGACCTGTTTATATATTTTTTGTACCATCATCATTGCTCCAGCAGAGATACAGCACTTTTTTCCTTTTTGCATATGTATTTCAAATATATGGTTCCCACACCAGAGCACAGAATGGAACCAAACTTGAATTTTCCAGCTACTTTAAACTAGTATAGTTTTTATTCATGAGCTCTTAGAAATTAAGCCATGCTTTGGATTTTCAGTTTTCTAATGACCTCTATTTAAAGTTGCCAAAGTCTGTCCAAGTAAATTTTAAATGTGGTCTAGGCTCACAGATTGTTTTTTTCCATTTAAAGGGTTGTATTTTAAAATATTCATGCTTTATTCTGTCATGTTTAGCCAAATATTTGGTTTAGTATTCAGGATTTCCTGTAATCAGGGTTCAGTATCTACCTGAGTCCTGCAGGGCACAATTTTGCTGAGTGTTCTGAGTACATTAATCACTGCATGGAGACCAAGCTCTCTGTGGCAACAGACTGCTCCTTTGTAGATATGCAGGTGCTGTCCCAAATGATAAATTTGTCTCAAGACCTGGTGGACCTGGTGTGCTCTAGAGCTGCCAAGAGATCTTTGCAGTAAAAAAACTTTTCTTTAGAGCAGCAAAGAGCTGCTTGGTTGTTAAGGTCTGGAAAGCTGGTAGATGGCTAAGGATGAAGCTGTTAGAATCTCTGAGGAGTTCAGCAGTTGCTGGATAGTCTTGTAAAGTATCTCTTGGGAAGCCAGTACCAGGTTCAGCCAGTAAGTTCTGAATTTGTTGAGAACTTTCACACAGAAAGTATTTCTGTCAAAAGTTACAGCTGCAGTTTGTGCTGGTCCTGAAAGCACTCAACTTGCCCAGCATCATGGCTGCAGTGTGAAAGCAATAGGCAGGGCTGCTGAGTAGCTGTCTAACTTGAATACCATGAATTGGCTGGAAACAAACAGTTGCCATCAATGGCCCAATGTCCAGGTGGAGACAAGTGACATTCCTCAGGGATCAGTAACGAGACCAGCGCTGCCCCATCCCTGGAAGTGTCCAAGGCCAGGCTGGATGGAGCTCTGAGCAACCTGGTCTACTGGAAAGTGTCCCTTGCCCGTGGCAGGGGGGTTGGAACTAGATGGTCCCTAAGATCCCTTCCAACCCACACCATTCTGTGTAATTGCAAGGCTGGAGTAGTGTTCCACTCTTGCATGAGCAGTGTGGTGTTTCACCTGGGGAAGGAGGTCAGGATGGGTTTCTTAGGTAGTTACAGGAATAGGTAGCAGGAGAGAATGGAGATCCTGTTCTTATGATGAACAGCTAGAAAGGGAATAGAAAGCTAGAATGCCTTCATCTTTATGAGCAAAAGTGTCTGTATGACCTGCCTGCTGGGGAACTGTGTGCTTGAGGATACAGAAACAAAATGTTACGTGAAACAGTGACTCTAAAAAGATACTTAACTTCACAAGTCTCAGCTCTGTTTAGCAATGCTGTTATTTAAAGTAATGGACTGGATTATATGAGGCTTTTTCAGGGGAGTTACAATGAACAAATGAATGCATTTTCCTTTTTATTTCTATTTACGTCTCTGCAAAATAGTGTCCTTCTGAATACTCTGAGCTCTACTGATGAAACTGTACTCTGAGTCGAAAAAGAATTTCTGAACTGTCTTACTGCTGATTTTGCATGGAACAGTAGCAACTTTGGATTATTGCTGCCATACTGTTTTCCTCCTTCTACAACTGTAGGAACATGTGGTATTGCCTGCACTGATGACCACTTCCTTTTGGTTTGTTTTTTCTAATAGGAGCAGAGGATTCTTTTTGTGGAGGTCTGAAACTTCTTGGCAGGCTGGCACTTGTAACAGAGAAAGATCTTTGGACTGTTAATGGTCTTCCCAATGAAAATAACTCTTCTGACCACCTGCCACTGCTAGCAGAGTTCAGGCTTATTGAACGGTAATATTCAAAGGATTTTGGTGTAGGTAAAGTTCCCTTTACTTTCTCTCTTCCTGGGATGATTATTATTTTTAAAAGGTTAATTCAAGCACTGCTGGTCCAGTTTAAATAAGTTTGCCTGCATGCTGATTTGTTAATGTTGTGTAGACTTTCTAAAGGGACTTTTTTTTTAAAAAACTGTTTAATTTACTTTATGAAGTCTTTTGGGGAGAAAAGATTTTACATCAGCTTTCTCTTTGATAAAGGAAAACATCTGTGCCAGACTCAAAATGGCATTATTTTTCATGGATATGTTGTAAATTATTTTTATTGTAAATCACAGTAAAAAGGACTATTCTGAGAACTGTGTGTTTCTTCAAGCAAAGGGGAATGTGTTTGTGTGCCTGCAGCATTTTACAATGAGTTGAAAATGTTTTACTGCAAACATGCTCTGTGGACACTTCCACCTTAACACTTCTGCAAGGGAATTTACTCAGTGGTGTCAGTGCAGAGGCTGCAAGACTGAACTTTCAAAGGAAGAAAGGCATATAGGCAAATATTTATGCTTTAAGAATTTGCTGCTTAAAATTGTAAGGGCTTAAATACAGGTAGCATTCAATCTTTTTAAAATACCTGAATCTTTTTTAAAATATCTGAAATAAAGCTAAGCTTAATAATCACACCACATCACAGGAGACTTAATTGATCTATTGTAGGAGAAAAAAAATTAGCCTTTGACATCTTGAGGTTTCGTACATATCGAACAACTCGTGACAGGGTAGTTTTTTTTCCATTTAATTATTTTAAATGCCAGGTTCTATCTTGAAATGACAGATCCTGAGGTATGAAATGATCAAGGTTTTTTATTTACTCTCACATTACATTCTGTGTAAAATACAATTTACAAAGTAATTTTAAAAAAGCCACCAGACTGTCTGAATAGGAAACATAGCGGGGCTGGAAACAAATCTTGTAATTTGGTCAAACTACACATGGATGTTTATGTAGAACCAACTTTGAAGTAACAGAGTTGTCTTTCAGTGTAGTGCTGGAAAACCTGCACCCATTCAGACATTTGTCTCCCAGAAGCACTTGTGGAATTTTCATCTGTGTTCCCTTTCCCTGACTGCAGACAACTGGAATTACTTTGTGCTTGGAGAATAATGCAGGAAGTACAGTAGTAGTAATAATAAAACCTGTTGAATTAAAGAAGTTTCTCAGCATTCCATTACAAAATATGAGCACCTACTGAAACATTCAGCTTACATTGCTGCACTTTTGTCATAGTCATAGCTTCTACCTGTTAACAGCCAGGTTGATGCTGAGGATGACAGCCTGTTTGGTCCTGGATGCTGACTGGTTACAAGCATCTGAGTAATCTCATAGATGCCAGCATACTTAGAGGCAAGAGATTTCTGGGTACATCCAGGCTACAGCTAAAAATTCTGTTCAGTTGTAGCAACCCTTGTTAAGAGCAAGGACAGAGACAACAAGTCAGTCATTAAAAAAAAGATTACCATGATACTTTTATTGAAGTTTCATGCTGTGCATATACAAATGATGAGAAAAAGCCCAAAAAGTCATGCATGTTTTTCTATACTATTTGACCACTTTGTTGTCACTTGAACCACACTTAAGACAAATGCCATCATAAGCAAGTTTCAAGAGAATATTTCAGCAGAACTTTAAACAAGAACCAAAAGCAATTTGTCAACACAGCTACAGAATTAAAAAGCTTCCGTATCAGTTAAGAGAAAATAAATTGTGCTGGACAAGGGTAGAAACTATATACAATCATTATTTGAGCTGAAGTAAACCATGGTTTCATAGAAAAAACTTGCAACGTATCAGGTAACATTGTGCTATAGGATACAGCTGATCAAAAGTTTTTCCACATCATTTTATCCATTAGAAGTCATAAAAAATTGTTTGGGTCACAAGACACTGAGCAGCACAAAGTTTGAAACTGAAACTCTGCAACTGATGTCAAATTACACAAGAATTTCTACCAAAACTGTATTTCGCTCTCTTCAGCTTCACTCCTTAACCAGAAAAAAATCCTTACTGTGCACACAGGAGTGGAAAAGTTTAGAGAAAGAGGGATGGGAAAGGCCTTCCTCTTATTGATATGGTAAACTTGGATAAAGAAGTGTTACACTTTTGAAAAGTTTTCTTTCTCCAGCTTCTGGAGTCTTAATTAGTAGAAAGCCTTTCACTGGCTGTAGGAGGTTGCTGGGTCTTGGCTTTTTCTTCCTGTCCTAGGCAGATGAAATTCAGTCTTTTGAGCAACGAGGTCTGTGTACAAGCAGTTCTTTCCTTCTGTATTCATTCATTTTCTGGCTGATAGAAGTGTTTTAGGAGCTTAAATCATTCAGTTTGAATAAGCATTACTGTCAGTCTGTAACAGCATCCATCTTCATCGAATCCTAAAAAAGTAAGTGCCCAGGAGGGCAGGTACACCAGGCCCATGGCAGCATCATCTATGAGCACAGCACAAAGAGTAGAGGCAGGACATGTACAATAATCCAGTTTATATTTAGGCACCTAATGAAACATTTCCAGGAATGCAGCACTTGAATGCTTCCAGAGAACTTCACTAAGTCGAATGGTGAACCCCAGTGAGTCTTACCACGTCACTTGAGAACACTGCTGTCCATCACAGTCCTTAGCCAAGTCTTACACAAAACAGCTGAGCAGAGAGGAAGCAGACAAGCTTGATTTTCATCTATTTCAGCCATACTTCCTTATTCAAGTCTGACTAAGCAGTTGTTACTGGGACAGATGTAGGAAAGCTCCCTGCACAGCACAGCAGAAGGTTAACTTCAGCCTGCCGTGCCTGATTTAATATAAGGTGTCACAGCATCCCCATCGGAGACTGCTCAGCCTTTCAAAGACAAGGTTCAAATCTGCACATAAATGTGGAGGGAAAAGCACACAGACTCAGGTTAGCAATTCCCACAGTTTTTCCATTATTCCAGGTACTACACATATGAGAAAAAAGCTGACTTGTCTCTACAAAACAGCAATCTCTATGTTTTGTGCTTCGGCGGTGTAGTTCAGAAAGACTAAAAGCTTGTGAAAAACGTATTTAAAAAATTATGAAAGTTTAAAAATCCATTATTCATCAATTATCATCATTTAAAAAACCTCAAATCTTGCCTAACAAGATGTCAGTGTTAAGAATACACTTGCATATTACTTAACATCTTTCGGCAACATGCAGAAAATAATAATACAGGTGGCAGTAAAACATCCAGTGCTGTTTTAATACTCCCAGTAATGCTGGGAAACAGTACAAATTATGTAGAAAACAATAATACTGACAGTTTTGCATATCTATTAAGTCTAGTGAGGTAATATTGATACTTTAAAAACTTATGCCACTTCTGCACTGCTTGCTTTTATTGCTGAATTAAAAATAGTGAATGTGATTTTTTTTAATTGCACTGCACCCCAGCACATCTTAATACTAAGAATATGATTCATTAGTTATTCCAATGCTACCACCCAGCACAAGGCTAAGTTCAATTAACACTTGTACAGGGAAATTATATTTGAAGAAACTCGCACCACTGGAGGTACCTGCTACATGATGGAGAGAAAAAAAGTCTCATATCCTGGCAAATCTAATTTTAGGTTCTCTTCACTGATGCCTTTTCTATAAATTGAAATAAATACTGCCACCAAAAAAAATTACCCCCTATTTTCTAGGTCAAACTTTTATTGTGAGAGTACATAAGTTAATAACTAGTCCCATTCCTTTTTCCTTCCAAGGGAGTGCAGGTAAAGTGCAGCGGCAGCAGCGGGAAGCCCTCTGGAGTCCGCGGTGTGGCTCTGTCAGATGCGGAGCTGGTAGCCCACCTCGTTGAGTGTAGCCAGGTCTCCTTTCTTGTCCAGCACCGCAGGCCTGTGCACAGGGAGGGAAGAGGGCACAGCAGTCACACAGGGAAACGCTTGCCTCAGAGGAGGGCTGGATGGATGCTGTCATCTTAAACACCATCCTGGGAAATCTGCTACAGGAACTACTGTGCTAGAGCTATCTGTGTGTTGCCTCTGAAGCCACGCACCAGTGAAGGACAAGCTGTGCCATGCTGGGATCCAGGATGTGAGCCTGAAGCACCACCTCCTCCTGACTTGTGAGAGGGTCTGAATGAGTAGCTAAGACTGGACACACCTCATCTGTCATTTACCCCGGAGCAGGACTCTGGCTTTTAGAATAAAGCTGAAACAGCTGAGAGCAAACAGGCAGGGTCTCTCACATGGCCACTGCTTGTTGGCTCTCCCAGCCTGCCCCTTCCTCCTGGCTGGGTCTGTGTGAAGGGCTGGAGCCCACCAAATAGAAAACACAGGGTGGACTCCCTTCAGTCTCCTGGCATCCAACATTCTGACACCATTCACCTGAGTCATCACACACATGGATGTTGTTAGACCATTTAAGTATTTCAACAGCCTGAACCAAAGGAAACTTTGAGCTGTCAGTCTCTCTTCTTAGCAAGCAAGGCAAACACTTCAGCAACAAAGTTGTCAAACCAAAACTATCCAGCTGATTAATAGTCTGTGGATGCTCTGATCTGAGAGCTTATTGCAGGCTCTTGGCTGTTTTCACACTAAGCCGTCTGTTTGCTTTTCTAAAGACAGACATTATTTAAAGCACACATTTCTCTAGTACTCTATATCACGTCTGCTTCCCTGCAGAAACACAGCTAAAGCCCCAGTAGTACAATGGGATGCTGATCATGGCTCCAGTGCTTTCAGCTCCTCAGCCCTGGTTTCCAGCTCTCTGTGTTTGCTCTTTGCTCACTGTGCAGCAGATGTGACCCCTGAGTTTGCACATGCAGGCTGGCGCTTATCTCCCTGCTGCAGGCTGCCAGCCCATTCCCACTAGAGCAGCTCAGGGCAGCAGCAGGGCCCCCAGAGAGGCAGCAGTGCCACAGGCAGGCTGGAAATCAGGGAAAGCCCAGCCCTGTCTGTGGCACACACCAGGGAGAGCTGTACTGCTGCAGCCCCAGGAACTGGGGGTGTATAGCTCACACACACATGTGCAACAGAGCCTCTGAAATATTTTTTTAATTCTTTGATTCAATAAGGATTTTTTTTAATTATAATTTTCCTTTTAAGAGCAGAACTGCTAACACCAGATTCCTGCTGAGAATCTGCTCATCATTTGAGAGCTGGTGACATTGCTATGGACAGCTAATGCTCTTCTGCCTAGGGGCACATTGAATTAAACCTGTTGCACCATGCCTCGTGTTTGTCTCAGTTTAAGTATTTGACAGAAGTGAAGGAGTCTTCACTGGTTTCTCTCACATGCAGGAAGGGATCACACTTAAAGAAATAGTTCGCATTTTTCCACATTATTCCTTCAGAGCAGATGGGATTTGACTAACCAGTAAACAAGCTACAAGCTGCATCCTTCAGAGCTTGCGTAGGAGTCAGAGACCAGCAAGAGATACACTGTATGAAATTTCCAGTGCCCTTCTTTCTCTCTCCAATTTAGGGATCCTCTTCACAGCTTTTTTTCTCCCTCCCTTTAATTAAGGTCACAATATGGTTTTAATTAAAGCATGCCCGGATGGTAGTAGCTTCTCTGATTATACAAGAGAGATGGGGAGTCACTGTACACCCATGGTGACATGCTCATTTCCATCCATCCTCAACTGTCTGCAGCCTTTAGCTACAGACAGACAATCCTCCATAAGTTTCAGGAAAAGACAAAACTTGGACCAGTGGCACCAGAGATCCCATTCTCCTTGGCTGGCAAATGATCTTATGCCAAACGTGCCCTCTGAGGCAAGGGGCCTCTGCTTTACTGGGCCATCAGCTCACACCTCCTGTCCAAAGCACCATGAGCCGGTGAGCAAGCTGTGCCCAGCTGCTGGGCACAGAGTATTCATCAGCTGTTTGCACTGCAGCTACCTGATTTTACATGTCCTAAAGTCATCCTGCCCCCTTGCACATCCTGATAAAACAGACTAGCAAAATTCCCCTTTCAGCAGCTACACTGGGCTGGAAGTACACAAGGCCAGTGTTGCCATGCCACTCACAGAGCATGCATGTTAAGCCTCAACATGAAATTGAAAGGAAATAGATCTGGTGAGCTGACATTAAGGAGCACAGATTCTCCAGGCTACTGCATGACCTTCCCTTCCAAACTCACAGCGACCCTCTAGCTCCAAGCACTCCTAATGAGGATGAAACACCACATTGCCTGTTCCAGCACAGGTCTGCAATTTACTGCACCCTTCTGCTTTGGGACTTCAGAGGATAGGCAAGTGGACACAGTAAAGCTTCAGACTTAGAGAGATTCACGCCACCCTATCTACATCCTCTGTATTAATGTAGGATCACACCAGCTGTGGGCTAAGAACACATGGAGTGCTGCACAGCTCAGTTAAGAAGCTACACACCAGCCTCCTGGGCAGGCTTGTACTGGGTATTGCACTGCCACCTGTCCTGCAATAAGCCCCACCTGCCTTGCAGCTGCATTTCCAGGCTAAAAGGCTATCGTGAGCTTGCTGGCAGCCACCATTAACATTTACCAAATGGAAGGAACTTGATTGTTACTTGAAGGAACAAGGATGAGAAGTTTGTGGCTGTGAAATCCTCTTCCATCCTTAAACGCAGTTTCAGCCTTTGTCCTTCAGAAACAATCCAGCCAAGACACTCTAGTTCACCACTCCACATAGCTTTCAGTGGGAGATGTCTCCCAGCAGGCCCATATAATTTCACTGTTGAGGAAACCCAGGCTGTAATAACAGCTTGTCATCAGCAGGTGAAGCCTTTCAAATGAATGTGTTAATCAGCACCTGCCAGCTCACACTGGAGCAAAATACTTCTCTCCCCCTCCCCAGCAAGCTCAAGAAAGCTGTAATTAAAGCAAGTAAGTGATCCACAAAGAAACAAAACAGTTTTGATAAGCACAGCCATTCTTTAGCTAGGATTCCAGCCTAAAGCCTAGAAAACCTGACTTTTTCCTGTTCTGTGTGTAACACAAAGGCCTCTCACTCCATCAGGTTTCCAGAGATCCATCAATATGGAGAAGAGAATACTCCATTTCTCACCTTATGCCAACAGGCACACGTGCTAGGATGTGTCATTCAGCTCATCCCTGACCAGGGGATGCCATTCCCCCTTCAGGTCTCACAGCTCACACTGTGTCTGGGTCCTGCATTTTCTATCACGGTGACCCAGGGTTTATTTTAGTTATATATAGTTTGCTCTTGATACAGACCAACACAGCAGAACCACTGAGCTGGTAACAGGTGCTGAAGCCACTGCAAGGCCACCTGTACACTCCCTGTCTTTCTGTCTTGGAAAAGCAAAGCTGCCAAGGAGAGATCAGTCACTGCAGAGCAACCACATGCCCAGCAGCTCTTTCAGGAAACCACCTCAACTGGAGAGTCTCCAAGCCCAGTGACACTCACTCCTCTCCAGAGATACTTGATCCACTCCAGCAACTACAGAAGCACTATCAGAAACTCAAAAATGAAACTGTTCCTCAAAGAGAATCTAGGAGGGGAAGAGGCCTGGAACAGCTGAGCCCATTACAACTATAATTATCTATGCACTAAACAAGGAGCTCAGTGACGAAGCCCAAAGTACAACATTGTGGACTGAGTGTGAATGAACATGTAAAAATAAAAGCTTGATGTGAAATCATCTGCTGCTAACGTATCTTCAAGTTATCTTTAGCAGGTTAGTCTAATGTCTTTGTTAGCTGCTTTAAAATAAATGAATAAGTGCTGAGACAGTAGTCTGGGAGCCTATTTAAAAAGCAATGATCATAAATATGTGACTAATCTGGGTTACGTATAGGCTTTCACAGTTGTCAGCTTCCTGGCATGGAGCACTACAGCTAGAACTCAGTTCTTCCACATCTAAGGCAGGGGAGTCTGAATTGCCAGTGGCTGTAAAAGGCCTGTGGATCTGGAAGCACAGTTTTATCCATTTAGAGATATTGCATCCATCCTTCCCCACACAGCTAAAGAACAACTCTTAGCTATGACACACATGGAAAGTGGCCTGGGTTTTTTTTTAAGCTGATTAAAATCAGAGAATACAATTCAAGTGATGTTGTCACTTTGGAAAGACAAGTTTACTTTCCCACTGTCTGTGTCAGCTGCACAGTCCAAGGACCCTGCACAGAGGGGCCATCAGGCAGCACAGCAATGCCAGGACATCAGCAGTGCCAGCAGCTTCTGGAGCCTCTCTGGGAGCTAATGCACCTGGCGCAGTTTTCCTGTATGTGCCAGTGAGCACGGAGGTTTTGTACAGCAAAGTAACATCATCCCCCTCCCCTCCTGCCCCAGCAGGGATGGTGGCAGGAATACTCACGATTTATCCCTCCTGCAGGCTCGTCTCTGAGGGCTGCCCTGCCTCCGGCGAGGGGACAGCGACTTACCCCGGGGTCTCTCCTTCATCGGAGAATGGGCACTTGAGGGTTTCAGAATCTGTGAGAGATGGGGGAGGGAAGGAAGTGGCCTTCAATAAAGGCAATGATTCACTGCTAATACAAATTTAAAATAAAGGGCCTCATAAAGTAGCAGGGACAGCATATAAAGAGCCTTCAGTCCCTTGGGGCTTATTCAAACCCTGACCAGGTTAAGAGGAACTCAAAGCTGTTATCATGTGATAGCTGTTTAGGGGCTCCCTGCAAAAATTAGTTGGTGTCACCAGTTCAGTTCCCAGCTGAACACTGTCTCATCCATGGCTTTCTTCAGAGCTGGCAACAGCAAGAGATAAGAAAAATGGCTTTGAGCCTCCATTGAAAGAAACTCAGACAGCTAAATCACCATCTCCAGCTTTTCTCTCAACAAACAGAGGTGACCATCTCTCAGGCTGGCAGCTGAATTCTGACAGTGAGGCTTTTCACTTGAAGACCTTGCCCTCATCCTCCAGGCCCTCCAACGTCAGAGGACCATCAGCATTACACTCACTCTCTGGACTGCTTTAAAGACCTGATCCTCCAAACTCGGCCCACTCACAATGGAAGCCCTCTGAATTCTGTAGTGACTCGAGGGAAAAATCAGATGCAGGGTCTTCAGCCTTCAAGGGTTCAGGGCTGTGGTCCTGGCCCTGAGGCACTCTCCAAGACTAGACCCAGTGTCACAGCTCAGCACACACAGAGAGCTGGTCCCTCTATCAAAAGCAAGTACAAAATTCAGTAAGTCATCCACACATATGGACTTCTTCAACTCAAGCCTGCTTCAGCTTGCTCTCTGTTTCTTGCTTCTTGTTTGCTCTCTGGATAGTATTACAAGCATACGAATAGAGAAGATAAAAACCCAAACTTAATTACATCAATAATCAAGCCCATATGCCTAAGGTGATAGCATGGCACAAGGTGGCCCTCAGAAGTCCTTGGCAGGGCAGGAGAGATGGCAGCAGAACATAGGGGCTACGATGCCACTGGCAAGGCTCACCCCAAGGTCAGGGCAAGGGGGCAGGTGCCTCAGCCAAAAAGACACGTGGCTGCTACGTAGGAGCCGTCCTTTAGCAGGGAAGGGGACGAGAACCCAGAATAACTTGGACACGATGCCACATACCCCTCCACAAGAGCCAGACCCATACTTAGCAACACACCTGCTCTGCTCTCACTGCTGGCAGCCAGCTGGACAGGCACCAAATCAGCTTCCACCATGACCACAAGCAGCTCCTCGCCCATGCCAGGCTCAGAGGCACGGTCAGGGACACCCCTCGTCCCCAAGGGCAGCCAAACCCTCCAGGCCCCTGGCAGCCTGCCCTGTCTCCCCGTTGTTTCCCAATGAGCTCTTCAGTCCAACCAGCCAGAAGGGAAGCACCAGTTTGTCAGGGAGTCCCTTTACTCGCCTTTCCCACATAACCTACTCTGTGATTCAGCTAAGGACAGTGGACATCAGCCCCTTGGCATGTCCTGCAAGGAGAGGCAACCACTGACACACACGTCCCATGGCACCTCCTGCAGCTCAGGTGGAAAATACAGACCCCCCATTACCTGCAACCAGGCCACTCTTCCCAGCAGTTCCAGCCCCAACCATGCTGATTCTTCCCAACCACCTTCTTCTGGAGTCATTGAGGAAAACAAACTGGGCAAGAGCACCCTGATAGCCAGGGACAAGAATGGGTTCAAGTATTTCCCAGGCTAAAGGCAAGATCCTTCAGCTAAATAGCTGTAAGGGCTTGAAAGCACACTATATCCTGGGAAAGCAGCACCGAGACAGATGCAAGCACCCCCCCAGCACACCTGATACCTGCATGATCTCAGGCTGACACAGAGCAATGCCCATCTCTGCAGGATGGGACAAGGCACAGCTGCCCCCTGAGCCCAACACCCACACGCACGGACCTACCTTCATCCTCATATCCCTGGCAAACTTCTCCAGCTCCTTTCTGACTTCTGTGCGCATCATTTTGGAGACATTGAGGACCAGCTGTTTCCACTCGATGGGCTGGAAGCTGTGCGGCTCGTGCGGGACGTACAACCCGATTTTGACTTTTTTCACCGAATGCAAGTACTTTTTGTAGGAGTCTTCGAATTCGAAGATGAGGTCGCTCAGAGTTCGGTACGTGAGAGGTTTGTCCATCAGATCCGATCGCCTGCTCATGCCCAGAGAGCCGTAGCGGCCGTTGCAGTAAATCCCAAGCACCACGTGATGAAAATAGTTCCCTGAGAAGTGGGTTTTAAAGCTGATGGGGAATCGTTCCACCGAGGGCTGCCCGTTGGTTAAGTAGCTGGGGTGCACTGCATCAAGGCAACAACGGAGCTGGGAAAGCTGCAGGTACAATCACACCTGTAAAACACCTTCAGCAGGTTTGGGGATTTTAACTGCCAGGGCAAAGGGCTTTCTTGTAAACACAAACTTGTTCTCACTGTGCCCACATACAGCCAATGCTGCCAAAGCCCCTTTCACTGCTTGGAAAATAAGATGCAATGGCTCAGATGGGGAAGGGCATGACTCTAATCACACTTAGGGGAAAGATAAAAACCACAGCATTGTTCAGGGCAGCACACCCGGAGCGAGACTTCCTTCCCTAGATCTGGAAGCTCCCCATTTGATACCAACATCAAACTCCCACACTTCCAAAGGGAAAAGCGTTTACCTCCCTTTCTTGAGGGTTTGATAGAACTTTGTTACTGAGCTTCATTCTCTCATGTCTTCAAATAGGACCAAGAAATCTGGATTTATTCCTCTCCAAGGTGACAGCCTGCCTTTCCTTCTGTAAAGTGGCCCTTGACATTGCCACTCCTCATAGAGAGTGTTTTACCATGTTACCCTTGTAACACCTTGCTGAGAGGAACCAAAAGAAAGGTCCAAGACGAATAATTAACGAGAAAAGGATAGAGGCATGCTCAGAAACAATGTTCTTAAAAAGCAAACCCTGTCCCTGGAATGAGTGACTGGCCATTTGAAAGGCACCACGTGCAGAGGCCAGGAGCGAGCTCTGTGCCAGTGCAGTGTGTGATCTCAAAGGGGAGCTACGTGCAGGTCACCTCCTTGGCAGGCTGCTGGCCCGTGCCAGGGAAAGGACAGCCTGAGAATCCCTCACGCAAGCAGCTCTGCGTCAGCACCTACGCTGCACGCAGCTCCCTGCTGCTAATCCCGGGACAGCTGAAACTCACCCTGGCTCCACGAGCTGGCACCTGGCCCCTGGGACAGCAGGTGCCCTTCCCTTCTGCAGCTGAGGCTCCCACCCATGCCTGGGGGATGGAGGAGGGATGACCAGAAAAGGCTGTAGCAAATCGCTCCAGCCTGGGTTTACTCCAGCCAGAGGCACCTGCTGTAACCTTGGAGCCACCCCTTGAGACAGTTGGCCATGGTGCTGCCACTACAAAATACACCAGCCCAAAAGGCAGCACTGCCAAGATAGTGTCGGGGCATCCTGACAGATGGAGGAGTGGGCTCAGTTCCCACTGAAGCTGCAGGAATCTGCTCTGTCCAGGATTCTGCTCTGGGGATCACCAGCATCCCCTCCTCTCCCTACCTCATGCCCAAAAAGGAGGTATTTAACAGCAGTGAAACAAGAGCCACGCACAGCTGAGATATCCTGGGATGTTACTGTGACCAGCCTTCCTTCCCTGCCTGCACAGCACGGCTGCCTGACAGCTGGGAAACAGAACACAAAAAAGTCTTTGTATCAAGACTGTAAAACACAAATTGGGCTCAGTTCTGGTTCTGCTCAGCTTGACATGCCACCACCTTACCACCAGTGTGACTCCCTGGGATGCTGACCCCTGCCTGCACCGCACATTTCACCTCTTTGTTCTATAGGGATGCATGAAAAGCATCCAATGGCTCTCGTCCCTCTCTAAACTATTTTCTCAGGGGGATATTTCACCCGGTGTTTGTTGAATTTCACTAATTCAAACTTTTGGCATTTGGGTAAATGCAGAAACCAACTAATAAGAGGTTCATCAACTGCCCAGAATCTGAGGTCAAGAGCAAGGAGTTTCAGAAACAAACAAAAAACAGGCAAGAAAAACACATTGGCACAGAACTTTCAGAACAGCCACGGGGAAGCTTTTCAGTTCCATGTCAAACACGTTTAGCTGCATTCAGTGCTAGATGTCATTGGCTTTAGCAGCCTGGAGAGAATGTGTTAGAGGGCAAAGGAACAGACAACACTGTGGGCTCAGCTCACAGTGCACTTCACTGGCACTGTGACCATGAGCCTGGAAGACTGTGCACAGCAGAGCACAGACCTCCCAGCCAAGGACACGTGCACCCACCTCCTGCCCCACTGCCACCAAATACAGACACCTTGCAGTGACTGTCAAAGCCCACCCCAACATCACCTATGCAGAACAGAAACAGCTCCATTTGCCTTAGGTGGTCTCACTGGATCACTGCTGCCTCGGACTAGCTTCCCTGAGAAAAATACCTCCACCCCACCATCAGTAGATGATTTATAATTAAAGATTATAAATACACTGCCAGGGCAGAATGGGGCCCAGCACCATTATGTCAACTGGAAAATTCAGCACACACTCACCTCATTTAAAGGGTCACCTTGCTTCAGGCCTTAAAAGGTGCATCCTGTGTACATCAAAGTCATGTTACTATAATTTGTGTCCTACAGACCGATTCTTGCAAAAGTCCATTGTATTTATCATTCTGTGCAACTGAAAAAGCACTGTCTTTTATTAACACCTACGAAGCTTTCAAGCATCACCACTATTTTTCCCCCTCATTATGAAAAGGTTTTCACTCTGCTCCCCAAGTGCCTTTCTGTTAAGTCCATACAAAGCTTTGGTGGCCACCCGCCACACATACACACTTCTGCCACGAGGGCTCAGAGAAGTTGCAATTTAATCTCATTAAATACTTAGTAGGAGTAAAAGAATCTTTTGAGGGAAGAAATTACCCACCATCAAATGCCCCAGCAACAACCGCTGTGGAAATTAACCTTTAGGTACAGGTTGCTTCTGCTGAGAGACTGGTTAATGAGAGTCCCCACCCGAGATGAAATACACAGCAAATGGGCTGGAAAGGCACGTCAGATCTTCCCCTCTGTCCATGCATCATTATTATAGCTTTTCCTTTCTGCTCTGCCCAAGGAGAGCTGTATTGTGGCAAACAAAAGGCAAGCACACAGCAATGCTGCAGCTGTAATCACACTTCTGAGCTGGGACTGTAACTGCAGGATGGAGAGTCGGGGAGTGAATTACATGCCACAGTAGAGAAGCAGTGCAGAGCAGGAGAGGGCAAAAGCAGCTGCAGCAAAGCTCAGTGACCTCCTAATCCTGGGTCTTCGTGACAATCAACATGATGGAGCCAGGCTCTTCTCAGTGGTGCCAACCAACAGGACAAGAGGCAACAGGCAGAAACTGAAGCACAAAAGGCTCACAGGTCGGGCACAAAAGAGTCCTACCGAATTGGTAACATCAGCCCAGAGTCCAGCCACTAGAGGGGTTCTGCAGGGCTCCATCCTCAGCCCAGATCTCTTCAAAATCTTCATTAACAATGTGGACACAGAAACTCAAAGCAATAGGTAAGTCTGGGGACAGCACCAAACTGAGAAGAGCTGTTGACTCCTTCAAGGGCAGAGAGGTGCTGCAGAGAGACCTCAGCAAATTGGAGAGATGGGCAACCACCAACCACACAAACTTTAGCAAGAGCAAGTGCTGGAATCTATACCTGAAAAGGGGCAGTGCTTCGTGTCTTAAGAGCCCAGCAAAGGTGTTTTTGCTGAAGCATGGTCAAGATAAGCACAGAAAACTACAGGGTGTCTGGTTCTCCCCTCTCCTGCCACTCCCATGGGCTGGGCCATGAGCAAGGACCACTGGGCAGCAGTGAGCAGGAGGGATGGCAGCAGGCTGGGGAGCGAGGAAGCAGCTCTAGTTACACCAGCCATGCTGAAGCTGCTAGCACACAGCAGCATGTGGAGCAGGAGGAAAATAAATCTCGTGCTTCAAAACCATCAGTAAGTCTTCAGTAAAACCAGAAGAGTTGTTTTTCCAAGCAACTGCTCAGAGGGCCCCCAACCACCAGCAATAAACACTCAGAGAAGTTTCCAGCTGGAGTCAGACAGCATTTCCCATGGGCTTGGGATTGCTTACTGAAAGGCAGAGCACTACTGAGCCCACATCTGGATGTTGTCTACACAGAGGGCCCAGAGTTCCCCCTGGCAGCTCCAGAGTCCATGTAGGAAAGGCTCAAGCAGCCAGTTCAGCTTCCTAAAGCAGGACTGCCAGGGTGACATCCCTTAGTTTAAGAAACCTACTCTCCAGTGCCTGGCTACAGTGAGAGGTGACTATCTAAAGATTAGACCATGAAAATTAAAAGCTCTCTCCCAGCTCTTCACAGCAACTGTAGATATTCACATCTTCCTTTCCCATATTTCAGTTAGCAAATGGGTCAAGCTGGAGACAAGCATGCAGGAGGCAAAGAGGAGCACTACATGGACAACATTATCCTGCAATCACTGCAAGAAACTCTCCCCCTTGCTGAAAACACTCACTCCCAGCCCAGGGATGTACCTGCTGGCCTGGAGGAGATGGATGGACCCAGGCTTCCAGTGGTGATAAATATCATCCACTGATTGCATCCACAGAAGGAACGGTGCAGAAGCTACTGAATAATTTCTCACTCCTGAGACACTTTTGCTCTTCTCTTCTTTGTATAATGATATTGTTGGCCAGCAGCTCTAATACCCTGCACGGGTCCAAGCGTTACCTCACATGAACTGGGAGAAGGATGCTGAAGGCAACAGGAGTGATTTATGCTCAGCCAATGTGGATGTGCTCTGCAAGGCTCCCCGAGGAGGGATGCAGTCTGCAGCTTCCCTCTCCCCCTCTGATATTTTGCTCTCCATGTTTTAATAAAGTGAAGGCAGCACAGATAAAATTCCCTTGGCACTTTCTGGTTTACTATTCCCTTTCATGAGCTCAAATCAATTGGATCTTTGCTCAGAAAGAGTGGGCTGAATGCACCATTACTCAGCTGATTTACAACTGAACTGAGAAATGCCCTGGGGAAGACAGCAGGAGGAATGCTTCTGGTTAGGCACTGACAAGCAGATCATGTAAGCAGAGAGATATGAAGCCAGTTCAGACAGCTACACAGAGAAAAAGAACTGTGCAGACCGCTGCAAAATAATACTGAAGATCTGTTTGAGCTTTCAGTCCTCAGAGCAGCTGCTTCCTTGGAGTGTGCAGACAGGGCAGCTCAGTACTTTACCTCACTGCCCTATAAAAATGCTTCAAGATCATGTGCACAGACAATTATGCAAAACTTAATTCTGCACCAAGAGGGATTACAGAAGCATTTTATAAGAAGTCAGACAGTAAAAGGCAATTGCACAAGCCAGTGAGCAGCTCAATTAAAGTGACATCTCGCTAAGCCTTTGAAGGCAGGCTCACACCGAGGGTCTGCAGGAGTGGGCTCTGCCTTTCCAGTATCCAAGCAACACTCAAGGCCTGCCAGCACACAAATTACAGCACTACCTTATTTCCAGATACATGGAATGGAACCAGAGGTCAACACACACACACACACACACACACACACACACACACACAGGGCTGCTCAGCTGTGTGAAGGCACTGGCTGGAAACCCAGGAGAGGGTTTTCTCTGGAAAGCATCTGACCTTGGAACACTGCTGGTCTCACTGTGTCTGCATCCAAAGGGCAATGCTGAAGATCAAAAGCTCATGGCTGACAAAAAACAGCAAACTTCCCCATGTGTCAAGCCAAAGATGCCTCCCAAAACCCCTCATGCTGCACTTGCATCACAGCACTACGAGGTTCCACATGGGCATGGCTCTGCACCAGCCACTTCCCAGGCACACAAATTCAGGTGGCCTCTCCACTCATCACTGCGACACTCTTTGTGTACCCACACCTCAAGCAAAATGCCTGGGGTTTATAGTGCATGAATCTTGTCAACTTAAATGCATCTGTTATTGGACCCCCAGCCAGCACAGAGTCCCTTCTCTCAGACAGAGACTTCTAAGACAGGAAGCAGAAATCCTAGAAAGACAAGCCTGTCACATACTGTCCCCTGGCTAAACCTTCTCAATTAAAAAAAGAAAAAAGGTTTGCCCAAAGTTTGGGTTTTTTAATTAGCATCTAGAGACAGAAAAATTCATACATATCTTAACTCTGAAGAAAACTTCAAATGACAGCAAATGGTATAAAATACAGCTTTAGACTATTTTGCTTCCTTCACATCTCAAAAAAATCCCAAAACCACCAAACTGAAGCCACAAGTCAGATTTGAGGCAAGCAAAAAACCCAGTAACAACACTTGTAGGTCATTGTGGTTATCTGTAGGCCACTAATCACCCTTAGCTCCTGTGATAAGTAGAATAATCAGCTCACTGCTAGAAATACAGCACTGCAAGCCACATTGACACTGCAGAGCAGCATCAACTCCTCCTGGGGATTATTTCCCCCATTCCTTTCATCCTCAAATAATTTGAGGGACAACCCTGACGCAGGGGCAAGCATAACAGATCTACTGACATCGCTTCAAGGGAAATCAGTTAATGTAAATTTTTGGGCTTCAGGAAAGGTTTCAATACTGTTACTCCCAGTATTCTCCTGGACAAAGTATCCAGCATACAGCTAGAGAAATACATAACACAGTGGGTGAGCAAGAGGCTCACGGGTCAGACACGAAGGGTTACAGCAAATGGGGTTACTTCAGGCTGGAAACCACTCACTAATGGGGCTCCACGGGGCTCCATTTTAAGGCTGGTTCAACATCTTCACAAATTACTTGGATGCAAGACTCAAAGGTATGGTTCCTAAATTTGCTGATGACACAAAATTGGGAGGAGCTGCTTACTCCCTCAAGGGCAGAGAGGCCCTGCAGACAGACCTTGACAAATTGGAAAGTTGGGTGACCACCAACCTATTGAACAAGGGAAGTGCTAGATTCTGCACCTGGGACAGGGCACACCCAGTCTTGTGGACAGACTGGGGAATGAGAGGCTGGAGAGCAGCACCACAGAGAGGGAACATGAGTCAGCAGTGCCAACCCTGTCCTGGGGGCATCAGGCACAGCATCCCCAGCCGGGCAAGGGAGGGGATTGTCCTGCTCTGCACTGGGGCAGCCTCACCTCCAGTGCTGGGGGCAGCTCTGGGTGTCACAACATAAAAAGGCTTTAAATCTATTAGAGAGCATCCAAAAGAGGGCAATGCTTGAGGGGAAGCCATACAAGGAGTGGCTGAGGTCACTTGGTCTGTTCAGCCCTGGAGGAGACTGAGGGGAGACCTCACTGCAATTACAAATTCCTTGTGAGGGGAAGAGGAGGGGCAGGCACCGATCTCTGCTCAGTGGTGACAGTGACAGGACCCCAGGAATGGCCTGAAGCTGTGTCAGGGCAGGTTTAGGGTGGCTATTAGGAAAGGGTTCTTCACCCAGAGGATGGTTGGACACTGGAACAGCTCCCCAGAGAAAGGTCACAGCACAAGGCAGCCTGACAGAGTTCAAGAAGCATTTGGACAACACAGGGCCTTAATTTCTATGGTTCTTGTGGGTTCCTTCCAACTCAGGATATTCTATGATTCTAGGATTCCTCCTACTGGAAAGGCTCTGAAGGAGGTTTGAGACTCCTGTTGACTTCAAGCCCCCAGGACGCCGATCCCTCCAGCTGCATGCAGAGTCTGTCAGCATTCCCAGGGGAAACCCTGTCAGCCAGAGCCACCTCTCAGACTCCAATCCGAGCCTATCCCTGGCACACATGGCTCAGCCCATCCCATTCCCACCCCCTAGCAGCCATTGATTCCCACAGGCACTACCTGCCAGGCTCTGCCAGCTCCTTCTCCCACGGGAGGGGGCAGCAGCAGCCAGCAAAAAACGCTGCAGAGACATCCCAGGAGATGGTTTGCCTCCGGGCTTATTTTTAGTTGGGATTTGTTTGAAATGAAACTTGATAGTTCCCGACAAGATGTGTCTGGCAACCTGTTCCTGCAGCCCTGCCTTGCCTCCTCCAGTGTTTTAGGATGGTGCAGGTTGATGTATCAGTGACAGCACCAGAGGGTGGAGAAGCAAGTCAGTGCCTAAATGACTGAAGACTGAGTGGGAAGCAAGCATTATGTTAAGGGGAAGCTCAAATGTTTAACTGAATACACATGTTCCTGCACAAAGCACAGCTGTGGGTTCAGAGACAAAAGCTAACAAAACCTGGCCCTGTAAACATCAGACAAACACAGAACCCACGCTCCTCGGGTGTTACCAAGCTCCAACAACAGCCAACAGAGAAATGCTAACAAAGAAAAGAAGGATTGTGTAGACAGGTACTTATCTGGGCACCTGGGGTCAGATCCTGACATTATATAGATTACCAGGGCAGGAGGAGTAAGTCTGCACGGCCAAACCATAACATTTGTGACCTGGCTCACAGCGTCCCAACTCCTACTTACAAGCCCAGGCAATTCAGCAATTTGGTGATGAATAGCAGGGCAGCTCCCCAGGCTGCTGGCACTCACCTTTGGCTGCAACCCTCTCAAACACCATCCATGAGGGGTAAGGTATTAAACAGAGCTGCAGTGGAAAAAGTCACAGGCATGTGAAAGGATACATCCCCAGGATAACTGCTTCAAGGCATTTGATAGGTAAGGACTCCCTGGTCATTTCTTTTGCTGTCTCCATTAACCTAGAACAGAAACAAAACAGTTTTCAGTCCTTCCAGCTAGAGCAATTGACAGGAATCAAAAGGTCCTCTCATATGCCAAGAGCCAGGCACCTCCAGTTCTTATCTCAGCAAGAGTTGGTGAACTTGATTCTCCCCTTCAGTGACTTGTCAGAGTCCTGTTAACTTCTGGAGGATGACTGGGAGGAAAAAAAAAGAAAGAGGAAAAAAAAAATATATTTGGCATCCCAGTGCCTTGCAGCCTCTGAAGGTGGATGGGAGGAATGATGCAGTCCTCTCTGCCTCTCACAGCAGCTTCCTGAGCATCACTTCAGACTGCAACACAAAGCCCTGCTAAACTGCACCAGCTGGCAATCATGGAAATCCCAAAGCAGGACTGAGTTTAGCTTATTTTCGAAATAACCCTGGCTCTCCTCTGGAGGAAAAACAAAAAAACAAACCAGGAGAGAGAAGATGGTTACATGCCTCCCTAAAAGCTTTAAATACCTCCATAAACCCATAGCTACAGCAGCAGACCAGAATTTATTGCCTTTTTATCAAAGGCCACTCTGCAGAAAGCTCTACCAACACAGACACTTCATATCTCTGCAAACTGAGTTATTGTCTTGCTGCTGCTCCACATCTCCTGTGGACAGGAAAAGTGGCAAAATCCACACAATTTCCTGCAGGTGTGCAGGAAACGATGCATGCCCAGGATTTTTCAAGTTCCTGAAGTTTAGTTACAATCTAGACACTATCACTGGAATACAATTATTTGACAGGGACAATACTGTGACAAGCAACAAGCAACCTCAGGTCAGCTGAGAAAGCTGTTGTGCCACAGTGACACTGCACTATTAACCTAGTAGGTAACCTATCCCCTTCCACAAACAGATCCTGAAATCCTGGACAGTTTGAAAAAAAAAATACTGGAAGTAGCCTAAAAAAGGCCAGAAGAGTCACATCCAATGCCACACTAAAAAATCAACCCCCTAAAAAAGCACAGCTGAAAACTAAGCAAAGGCTAACTTTTATTCTGCAGTCTTCTCTATCCATATCCTTTCTCTGGGAAGAGCTTTGTAAACAGATCCCTTCTCTAAGGACATACAACATTAAATGACAAAAATATTTGTATTGGAGAAGATTATGAAAACATGCCTCTGAAACCATCAGGGTCTGTTTACCCCACTTTCTGATTCACCCACCCCATGCATTTTAAACCTTGTGTTGAATGCAAGTGACAACAGAGCTTCCACTGCTATTACAGCCTGTCACAGGCATTTCGTGTCCCATTTATCCAAGTTAGAAATTATCGTTCCATTTGTAAACAACCACCCCTTACACTCTGCCTGCAGTACAGAAGACTAATTAGAGTTTGCCTGCCTCCTCCACACTCACAATCAGCCACAGAATCCCAGAGAACTGCTGGAAGCACAGAGCAGCCCCGGGGAGGGCACACAATGGGGCTCCTTCATCCCCCACAGAGGCTGCCCACTGGTCACAGCAGTGGCCACTGCAAAGCCCTGTCTCTGTCTCAGAAGTGTTATGTGCAGATGAGGCATGGGAGGTATCCATAAACAAGATAATCCATTGAATTCCCTATCTCCTAACTACATGGGAGTTACATTAAAAAAAAAAGGGGGGGGGGGAGATGATTATTTATGAACGTACATTATGAGGGAAAATGTCAGGTTATAAAACCAATTTTTTTGCAAGCCATTTGGTGTGACCTATGCCTGGTTAACACAGTCAGAAGGGCAGGGGCAGGGCCAACATCTCCTCCTCAGCAACCTGCACCTGGATCCAGGAGCTGCAGCAGGACCTGGCAGCACAGAGATGCCAATGGAGCAGGACAGTGACAAGGGGAGCATCATTCAGGAGGCACTGCTAGCTGTCAGCAAACCAGCATCCACCTGCACTTCTGGAGCAGGCTGTGCCCTCACACACATCCTCCCTGGAATCCTGGGGAGCACTCTGCAAACAGTTTGTTTTCTCTCTGCATTTACAGCACGGACCACAGGGTTTATGTGCATGACCCAGTTCAAGAGCCACTCAGAGTTTTTCTTCCACTTTTAACAAGCTTGAGTCAAAGCATGGCCTTAAATCCTGTGTTTGTATTGGAGGCAGAGCCCCTGGAGAATCCCCAAGCCACTGCTCTGCCCAAGGTAGCACAAGCCAAATGTAAATCACTCCTCACAGATTATTTTTCAGTCTACTTTCAACTGGCTTCTCAAAAGCCTGGGAACCCACCAGCTAATCTATCCTACACTTAACCTTGCATCTAAGAAGGTCCTCTCATGTTTAAGCTAAATCCTTCCCTTTTTGCAAATTAAATCAGGAGCTATTTCTGATCTCCACAGCAGGCATGGAGACCATTCACTATCTCTCTTCTTGCTACAGACATTTGTATATGCAAAAGACTAATCTACCCTCTCCTCTGTAAAAATGAGAAAGAAAGACACCAATTTTTATTTAATTCTTCCCTCACTCCCCCTGAAAGCTTCCCCCTTAGGTTATAATTTTAGGACAATATTTGTTTCTTTCAATTTTGGAATCCCTTCAACCAACTCACTTCTCACAGTCCTTTGGCTAAGGCCACAACAGTACAAACAGACCAATTTCGTTTTGAATCCATTTTTCAGTACATATTTGCAAACAGACCAGTGTGCTGTTGGCTATTCCCTGCTGGCCCACACAGAATCCAGTTCTGGTGGCTTTTTGTGGGGCCCTTTTTGTTGGTGTTTTTGGTGGGTTGGTTGAGAGGTTTTTTGTTAGAGGTGGAGATTTTTTGACTGGGCTTTTTTGGTCAATTTTGTTTGGTTTCTTTTTTTTTTTTTTTAAGCTCAGCTGCTTCTTTGCAAAACCAGCCTTTTACTCTCCACAGCTGGCTATTCCCAAACTCTCCTAAGCACTTGCCATCACTAAATTATCTCCTGTTTGTTCCAGCCCAAGAGATCACTCTGAATATCCCAGTTTCACTTTTCAAAGTCTCACTTTTCACTTGTCACCTTGTCCAGCCTGGACTGCAAATCATCCATCAGCAAACAATTACTCTTACCCATACCATTAAGGAAAAAACTGAGCTGGGATAGACACTGCACACCTCTAGTGACAATCTCTGCTAAGCAAGATTGGTAAAGTGCCACTTTCTGTGTGTTGCTTTTCACGAAGTTGTGTCCTTACATTAAACAGTTTTATTGAGACTCAAGGTCCTTGCCTTATCTGCAGAGATAAGATGTAGCCTTATCAAAAGCCACACTAAAACAAGGAGTTATTACATCCACGTCTTCTCCCTTGTTGACAAAAGCTCTCACGCACTCATAGAAGGAAATTCTCAGAAACTGTGCCCAACAATATTAATGTTGCCTTTCCCTTCCCTTGAACTGCAGATAAACTCAAAATTCCTGGACTTATCTTTTCCTTTATTCTTTTTAAAGGCTGCTATCTTTGCCTTCCCCAGCACCCACCCTCCCCATATTCTCTAACACAAATATTAATGATTGAAGACTGCTTGTCAGTTCTCTAAGGGATCTATGGCAAATGACCTATGGCAAATGACAGAGCATTCAGCTCATTTGAAAACAGATCATTACAGGTGCTCTTTGATTTGTCTTTCCCCTCACTACTAAATTCTTATCACACTGTCTCAGACATTAATAGTGACCAGAAAGCCTGCAGTTAAACTTGTGAAAGGAGATTTAAGGAAGGCGGAAAAGAATTTAAAAACAGCATTAAGCATTTCAGTTCCCTGCCTTGGCAGGGTTTGCTACTGGGATTTCCTTTAAATCTTGACAGCTACCTGAAAAGAGTCCACATATATAGCTATTCTTTATAGTCTTATATCAGAGAGCTGGAAACTAGCCCACAGTCACCCTCTCCCCACACTCCAGTGAGCACTGGGAGAAGCCCATGTCTTCCAGGAACTCAGGGGAGACTGCTGCAGTCAAAGAGAAGCACCTTGCAGCTCTCCTCTCCTCTTTGTGGCATTTACACCACTCTGATGTCTGTCAGGCAGATCTCTATTCCAGACCACAGTGAACACTTCTGCCTCTAACAAATGTAGCCAACAGGAACAGGCTGCTTGTTCTTCCCTCAAGACCTAGTCCTTGGCACATAGTGATGTTTCCTTGTTAATTGATTCAAATTTCTTTCAGTGTTCTCAGGAGCCCACCAGGACTATCTCCCTTGTTCTTCCTGCAGTAAGAGATGCCCTGAAAGGAGCTGACTTTGCCTCTTTAGGATGCTTTCTTTTTAAAATGGCAGTGCCTAAAGACAGCTCATAGGAACCATTAATTCCTTTTGCTCCCAGATTTATCACTTGGGGCACCCAATTTCATATACAAGTTAGAAAAACCTTAAAACCTTTCAGCATGCCCCAAACTGGAGGATCTCACCAGGTGGCACCGATCACACTGGAGTCCCCTCGGGGATGACCATGCTTAGGAGAGGCTCCCTGTTACCTTCACCAGAAAGACTCCTACAAGACTCAATAAATTTTTTATTAGTAAGATCCTCCACACATTTTTCCACAAAATTGCCCTTGCACAGACCCATGTACTTTGCATGAGACCCATAAAATCTCCCTCTCCCAAGTTTTTTCTAAGGCTCCTGACAGTTTCATTCATAATGAAGCCAAGCGAAAAGTGAAAGGCAGCAGCAGGAGCAAAAGGAGATAAAACAGCAAAGCAGATACAGATCTTGTGAATCTTCTCAAAAACAGTGTTTCAACAGCAGAAGCATTCCCACATGCTGAACACCACACCATATCTTTAACATCCCCCCTTTGTGCGAGAGAGAAGCAGATGTTCAAATGTCTTCTGCAGTCTATTGTCTGGAAATGGTATGAGCCCATTTTTCTTTACAGCCCCATCAGTGTTCCTTAATAACATGGTGTGTGGAAAAAGTATTATTTCCTGTCTCCCCTTCCCTGTTATTTGGCTGCATTGTTGCCACGTGACAGCTCCTATCGTGCTCCTTTACTGCAATCGATTACACATTATATCTGCAGCCACTGAATGCCTCTCCCTCCTCACAGAGCACCTTCTGGGCTCGGATTTCTCCAGGACCACAGAATCTCCCCAAACATCGGTTTCTGACTCAGTTGTAGGTCCCCCTGTTCAGCTGGCACTTAAATGGAGGTAATAGTACAATACTGCACCTCCCCAGATCCTCTGTGGAGGACAAAGAGATTTGTTTCTCATGCTTGCATCCTAGAACAGAAGCTTCCAGAAGGCTTGTAAACCCAGTAGTAACAGCTTGTTGACATTGAATTCACAGTTACAGATATTACTAGATATCCAGACATACACTTTTTTCCTAAAGCTCTTACATGATCTAAGCCTGGAAGTTTTTAAAAGAATGGCTGTGTTAGTCAAAAGTACCAATTTTTATCACACTGGTTGTACCAACAAAAATCTAATATAGGTTTAGCCAGCATAATCCTGCATGGGAAAAGGAAAATCAGTCCTAGTGGTGTCTGAAACATTCATATCACACATGGATCTGCAGAGCTGAATTTCACAGGGTGCCCTCTAACTATTGAGTTCAAAAAGGTAAAATCATGAAGCCTGTGAAGGGCACAGTCCCAGGATACCTATATTAGCAAAGCACTCCTACAGCGGATATAGCTACACCCATAAATTTGGATTTTGTGCAAATACAGCCAACTCAGGAGAGGTGAGACCCAGGCACATTTTCAGACACAGTTTGCCAGTACAACAAGAACAGCACACAAAGTTTACAGGTTCACAGCTCTGCCAACAGAAATCTAGCATTTCCAAAAGTGCTAGCTGTAGTCTAGACAAATCCACGTGGTGTCTAGCACTCTAAAAGTTAAGTTGATAATAAGAGTGACTTTTTCTTAAAGGGATTGTAAATTCTGAGTTATAGCAAGACTATACCCCTTAATGAGTTCCCATAGATAATTTATATTCTTCTTCCTATGCTCAGCCACACATTTTTATTTTCTCATACATCACACTGACGCTGACAGTAAATCTCTACAATATCTAGTCCTCCCTCCATAATAGAAAATCTCATTAATATGCCCCAGCTGCTTTAGGACACTTTCACATGAATTTATGAATATTCAATTTCCATCTAGTACTCAGCTTCTTTGTGTCCAGCCACTGCTGTCGTGAAGAGAGGCTGCCAAAGATCTCGTAATACTTTCATTAGCTTTGAGCCCTTATATTATGAAATCAGCAATATGTTTAGTGTCAATAAAGCTCTGGAAAACAGCCTCATTTTTCAAGAGCCAGTGGCAATTGGAGGCTTTCAGTCTCTTGCCCGATCAACTTGTAAATTCTGTGTTGCAGCAAGCAAGGCCTTTCATGCCACAAAAACTGCTCAGAGCAGCTCCTGTCACCTCAGCACAAGACACCTGTCATTGCCACGCTGGGAGCAGATTTCCTGCAAAGCAGAACATACCTCCCAGGAAAAAAAACTCGGAGGTGTAGGTGATTTTTCAGCTTTGATGAAAACTGGTCTGCATACCAGACGAAGGAAAAGGGAAGCTTTTGAGCACACCTCAACGTTACAGGACAATCGAGGCATTATTCACACAGAATCACCAAAGCCGGGCTTGGAAGTGACCTCTGGACATCATCTGCCCAACCCTCCTGCTAAAGCAGGTTCGTTTAGAGCAGGTTGCACAGGTAGGTTTTGAATATCTCCACAGAAGAAGACTCCACAACCTCTGTGGGCAGCCTGTTCCAGTGCACTTCCAGTCAGTCTTAAAGTAAAAATTTTTTTCCTCATACTTGGATCAAACTTCCAGTTTCTGCCCATTGCTCCTTGTCCTGCCACTGGGCACCACTGAAAATAGTCTGGTCCCTGACTTGGCCATGTAAATGTTAAAAGACCTGAAATCTAAACCAGAAACTGTAAGTTTCATTTAAAAAAATGGAAATCTGGTTTCATAAAAATGACAGGAACTTCAGACAGCCTTGTCTGGAGAAACCAAGACCAGGCAAATGTTAGAGCCCTACAGCAGTACAACAGGATCTGGGAAGCAACATGTGCTCCTGACAGCTCCAATCCACCCCAGCACTCCCATGTACCCAATGCACCATCCACAGAAGCCCTGCCACCCCATTCCAAGGAGTTCCAAGCAGCAACAAGGAGAGGAGCCAGACACTCACCCCCAAGCAAACACTAAGGCAGATAAGCAGAGGAAGTGGCTCCATTTGGGAGATGATTCAAAGCCACAGGCACATCTCCAGCTGTGAGCACTGTATCTGTTCCCTTCTAGGAAAGAGCACCATCCTTGTAAGCCAGGCTTTTATCCAGCCCAGAAAGACAATGACCTTTTAAGTGGTAAGTGCTGAGCATAATTCATTTTCATCCTTCACTTCCTTTGAAAAAAGTAATGGGACAAATTTAAAAATGAGTGAGCAGCTTGAAAATTGGTTTAAGCTTCTGTAAACCCATCTATCATTCAAGACACAAGATTTGTTTTAAACTAGTTCTACCAGAGCAGTGAACATTAGATAAAGACAGTGAGAAAGATTGTTGTCAGCAAGATGAAAACCTGAAGCACAAAGTTGAGATGGGAACAGGAATTTTAGAGTGAGACCATTAGTTTAATGACAGAGAGCTGGGAGGAGCTAGAGAAAGACCAGTCTATGGGAGTAATTATATTCTGCTTATCTAAATTTCACCCTAAAATAAAAGCATAATGTTGTCAACACCCTTCCTGCCTTAACCTGCCAATTTGTTAGGTTCTGTTAAACAGCTATCCTAAGTATGATGCAGTTCTAACATGCAAGAGACCCCAATTCTCTGCTGCCAGGCTTCCTGGGAACACGTTCATACTTGCACTGCACAACTCATCACCAACCAGCAAAAGTCCATCCCATGGATGGAACAGCAAGATGAGCAGCAAGGCAGAAGCACAGACATGACCTGAAGAGTCCATTGTGAGCCTCCAGGGAAAACTTCTGTGCCCAGGATGTCAAAACTCCTGCTGCATTTTGCACAGCTACTCCCTTCCTACAACCCACAAAAGGGCATTTCAGCACAACCAGAATATCAGGACTTGCTCAGTTTTCAGAAAACAGCCCAGCCCTCCCAGCCCAACACCAACAAGCAGAGAGTTTTCCCACCCCTGTGCATGCAGCTCTGGCCTGCAGCCAAGCAGTTCCCACGCAGCTGCTGAGCAAGAACAGCCCTTCCACTTGTTGGTCTGGATGGTCCATTTGCCACCCAGCAGCAAGCTGGGACACTCCTCACAAAGGCAGCAACAGAGGCAGCTTTGGCCCTGCCAGAGAAGCTGTGGCACGAAGGAGACAGCCCACCCATGCCATGGTGCTGCAGTGCTTAAATGCCAGGTGATCAGGGACAAGGACACTTCCAGTGACACTTACCCACTCAGAGGTCTGGTTTTTCTGATCTCGAAGAACTGTGTTCCCGTGTGATTGTATCTGTATTTCATCTGTTAAAGGAAAGTAACTTGAACAGTCAAGCAATAAGATAACACTGCTCAAAAGGTGAATTTCAGTTTTGACTTCCTGTTGAAACACAAAATGGGCAGTAAAAGCCATTGATTCTCAGATAGGAAACACTTGTGAAATAAAGCAAAACTTTTCACTCGTCTTTTTATATGGCCTATTAGCAGCAGTAGGTACAGAGTCAGGTATTAAGGCTGACCATCTAAAATGACACTCAAATTCAGCTCTTTTCCACTAGTTCCCACTCGCTACCAGGTTGCAAGTTTGAAAAAGTCTCCCACTTGGACAAGAGAAAGCTTTTACAGCCTACCCAAACCAATCAATATAATGCATGGTCTGAAAAAACTTGTTTTCTTTAGAAGTCTTTTAACTCCATCAGTCACATGGCTTACCTATGACCTGGCAACCAAAACCATTGCAGATGCATCCATTCACACTTTGAAAATATAAATCATTCTCTAAAAAGTACAGTGCTCTTGAAACGAAAACAACCAGCTATGTGCAAGTCAAGGTCATTAGCTAACACCAATAGCAGAAAAGTTCACCACAAATGATGCCAGCAGACAGTCAACCAAATCTCAGCACCACTTGCCTACAACCACAGGCTGCCACTGTTCAAGCAGCAATGCAGTAAATCAGACCAGGAAAACAATCTGTTCAGTAAAAACAAAACCAAAGCAAAAAACTCAATAAAGTTTTGTAAAAATAAAATAAAATAAAAAATCACACTGCCCTTACTTATGCTAGGTTACTTTTCCAGTTGAATCTCTTTCCTAACCTAGTACCCAAATTCTGTTCCCATCAGAATGTTCATGCCAGTAAAACTGGTGATACCAAGGCAGAAAAATTAAGCAGGTGACCCCCTGGAAGCAAAGAGCTCCTTGTAAGGCATAAATAGCACAGCTGATGCATGTATAACCACAGCCTAAATAAAAACTCCAGTTCTCACCAGGATGCTCTGAACTGACTTCAATTAAGAGTTCAGAGTTCTCCACAAACAAGGCTTTACTTCCCTCCTGCCTTCAAAACCTGACTCATGAGGCCCTTTCAGGGTGCTCTGCACAAAGCATACATCCTCTTTCAGCCCTCAAAGGAAGCCCAGACACTGCTCCCCAGCCCACTTTGAAGTTTTTATGAACACAGATCCAAACCCTGTGCCTAAGCCCTGCTCCTGCTACGTAGCAGAACGCAGGATCTCAAAAGCACTACGGGGTGAGGCGGGGGACAATGTAATTTTTGGAGCTCTGTACGACATGGTATCCTCTCTGGCACAATCCCAGCAAGCCACAAGCCTCTTGTCCCGGCCAAGTGGCTGCCATAAAGAAGAGAAATGCACCATCCCCCTGCAGAGCAGCAGCCAGCCTCCCTCCAGCCCCCAGCCTCCCTCCCCATGGCAGCTGCTGCAGCTCCAGGCCCTTGATCCCAACCACAACTCCCCACCAAGCTAACCATGCCTGCTATTTTTGGATGTTCTTCCAGCTGCCACCCACATCTTTTCTTAATCCTTACCAGGACTTTACACTCATTCCTCGTCCCCACAGTTCCCCCGCACACACGTACACAAAAAAGCAGAGTTTAGGAAAAAAGGGGAAACACAAGAGCAGCATCTGGGCCAGCAACCTTCTCTGAAATTATCTGTCAGCAATGGAAAGTCAGGAATTGGGCAGGGGGCAGTGACAGAGGCTAGACAGATGTGTAGATGCCTGATGAATCCCCCAAGCAGGGTGGGACATCTGGAGATGCCTTTGGTCAGTTCCTGCATCACAGGCAAGCCTGCCCACTCCGGGGTCAGGACAGCTGCTTGTGCCCCTCACCCCAGTGACAAGCACTCCCTGCAGGCTGAGCACACAGGCAATCCTCAGGGAACCCACAGGGGCTGCCAAGGCAGAGGGAGAAAGGGTTTACCACAACACTGGCTCTCTCTCAGTCGCTTTATGACAAGATGCCATATTATTTCTCCAGGCATCATGATCCGATCATAATATCCTCATGAATCAACTTCAAAATAAGCACTTCTATTCCCACCAACGTCACTTCAGTTACATTTTTCAGTATAATTTAAAGTTAATTACATCTTCCAGAGGATTGCTATGACAAGCTCAGTGCTGCTGGTGCTATCACAAATCCCTGGAGGCGTCCCTTTACCCCCAAATGATCCCAAGCCCTTGCAACCAGCTAAAGCTACAGTAAAGCTCTGTTAATTCACACCAGGCACAAGTCAGCCTTCTTTCCAGAGACCACATGCTCAAAAAGGATACTGCAGCAGCTTCATGTAGGTCTGTATTGCCTGGAGCCATTCTGGGATTGACATGGAGAGCTTGTAGTTTGGCACTGGAGGCACTGAGGGCTGGACACAAGAAAAAAGATAAAGAGGTTAGACAGCCACGAGTCCCGCAGAGCAGATAAGTGATTTACTCGAGCAGTGGCATGTGCTTAGTGCAACACGGCACAGCAGCACAGATGGCTTAAACCCCACGTGAACACAGGCATCAGGCAAAGTCATCCTGCTGACCACAGGGGCTCCCCAGCAGCAGAGCCAGCCCCGTCCCTGCACGGAGAGGCCGTGGCAGGCTGATCATCGGAGCCACCAGCATCCCTCAAACACTGCCCTGCGCAGGCAGGCAGCCCGGCACAGAAAGCCTGTGCTTCCCATTCCCTTCCCCCCATCTCCAGCACAGGGCAGTTGGGATGAGCAGAGTCCCAGTACTGACTCTGCTGTTCTCCCTGCCCCAGGAAGCCGTTTCAAGTCTAATTTTCGGCCTCCTTTACCACAGGAGACAGATAAAAGGAGACAAGGATCCCGGGCTGCATAATTTCCCATCTGCCGTGTGTCTGCAGCATGCTTGCTGGGGAGGGAGAGCACGGTACCTAGAAGACCACCCGGGACCCAAATATTTAATGACATTAAGACACTTAAAGATATAGACTGGCAACATAATGGGATTTTTCCAAAATCTCATAAGACATCTGCTTGTGCCTAAGCATTTTAAGAAGGCAGGCCCTCAATCCATGTTTAATCCCCACAGCTATTTGGTTCCTGAGCCTGCAGCCATGCAGGGAAGGGGCACAGCCTTGTCCCAAGTCCACTTATTTCAAGGGTGAGACTGCAAAATATGGGCTCAGCAGATATTAAAGTGGGCAACATGGCTAAAAAGAAGTTAGCACAATTCTCACAAACACAGTGGAGGAAGCAGTTTATTTGAATATTAATGCCAATTCGAATTCAGGAACCAGTAATTTGGGCAGCTGTGACAAGGTGCAGAGAAAAGCATCTGTGGGCCCACATTGTCATAACCATAGTTTAAATCTCATAAAGTGACATATCACTGTCCTTAATACACTTCAAGTCAGCAATTACTGATAAGAACAGCCATCTCTTTCCCCTCCAAATTGTGTGTTTGCTTTCAGAGAACGAGCACCAGTAATCCCAAGGCAAAAAAACCCAGCATTTACTACAGGCAGCGAGTTGCTGCAGTCAAATAGTAAATACATCTTGGAGAAGGGGGGGAGAAAACCACCAAACTAGAGATTCCTACACTACTGACACACAGAAGCATACTGTAAGTGGCAAGCAGATGGCAAGGCTTCCAGCTCGCCCCCACCATCCCAGTGCTTCACGGGCACGCCTGCACACATGGGCTTGCTCCTCTCACCAGTGGGAGTCATGAGCAAGACTCATTAGCACTTCTTAATCATGATTTTCATGCCTAAGCTCTTCATTAGAGAGATTTTTTTGGTTCCACAGGTTCCTTTCTCACCCAGCCCCTTTGGGCTAGATGAATTATTCACCTGTCCCTTCCAGCACCAGGGCAGACCTGGACTCAACACACCAGATAAAGCTCAAGTTTCAGAAGCAGCAAGGAGCTGACAAAAGGAATTATGGCAGGGCTGTCACACCTTCCCAGGGTGGCCATTTCTGCTCCAATATACTCAATCCTTGGCTTCAGAGATACAGAAGCTCCAGGTGCATGCACTGCACTCACACGACACACTGATGCAATGGGAGCCCCAGCCAGCGAGGGGCCTGGCTGCTGCAAAGGATTTCATCCTTTTCCCAGCCCTCAGCCTGCTGTGAGCCCCAGGACAGCATCCCATAGGGATAGCACCGGTGTGAAGAGACATAGCCCTTCCTGAAACTCACAGTGGGGAACAGGCTCAGACCTCCAAGTGAGGGGCTCCCCATCTCCACGATAAGCGATCACACTAACCACAGAGGATGATGATATCAGATACCAGAGCATAGCTTAGAAAAGAGAAACAGGGTTTTCCCACTGGCTAGAACATATTCCAGTTACCTCAGGAGGCCCAAGCCCCTCCAGATCTCAGGCAAGAAGGGAAGAGCATCCATAAGCCTGAGCCCACACAGGGCAGCACTGCTCTCCTCTCCCCAGTGCAGGGCAGGCAGCACACACACCACATTGCCAGCCAGAGCAGGCAGTGGGCACCCACATACCACTCCCACTCCTTCCAAACATTTTTCCCTCCCTGATTCTTGCCCCAGCTGCAGGAGGACTGATCCTGGGCAGCCACCCAGCACGGAGCAGAAATCAGGGCTGCACAATACAAGTGAAGGAAAGCACAGCTTTGTTGTAATTGAGGATGCAGCCCTCCAGCTCCTGGTATGCATCCACAGCAGCAAGGAGCAGGCAAGGGTTTGTAGCAGGAGGTCATGGATAGCAAGAGGAAATGCAGACACAGCACTACAGACCATGAATTTGTAAAGCAAGTGAAATTCAGAGACGAGTCAGATGAAAAGCCTTGACTTTTTATCAGTGTTTCCAAGGAATAGCAGCTCCAGACAGTGGAGCCACTGCAGTGCAAGACCACGTGGCAGAGCTGGAGACTCATCCCATGGCTGGAAATGCTGTAGTCTCAGTTCACCACAGACATCCTGTGTGAAACTCGTTTTGCCCAATTCCACTGTCTCACTTAATGACCAGAAAGTCACTTTCTACCAGCTCCCCCTGCAAGCACACTGTTACTCAGCACGGATGAAGCTGACAGGCAAGAGTCCTCAAAGCTGCTGAGAGGTTTAATTTATTACAATCCCCAAATATCTCCAAGATCACAGAACAGGTAAAGGACTGCACAGCCCTTCCAAACTGTGAGCCTGAGCTCAAGCCAACAGTCAGAGGTGGAGACCCCACAGGTTCCAAAACTGCCCTTGCAGACAAGGCAGCTCTTTGTAAGAACTCTGCCTCCCGAGAGAGACGCAGCCCTGCACCTCTGCAGTTTGCATTTGTTCCAGTAAGGACAACCTCACTGACAGTCAGAAGCTACTTACCACCCTGCGTGTATGATTGCAGAGACTAATGCCAAGATGATTAGAGCAATCAAGTGGAGCTTCTTGGAGAGGGGATGAAAACTCTCTCCCATCACTAGGGATTAAGAAGAGATCAGATGCAGAAATGGAGCAGTTGCACATGCCACTCAATCAGCCTGAACCAACTATCAATGCAAGCAGATTACAAATCATCTTCTCACAGGCACAAGTTTCCCTCATCACTCCCAAACAGCACTACCTGGTCTTTTGCAGACTGACACATACCCAGCAGCACAAGCCAATTGAGAAAATTTGTACCAAGATTTAAGGAACAAGTCTCCACTCACATTCCCATTCTGACCCAGAAATTACCATCACAACTTTGGTAATCCACTACCACTTTGTGGCAAAAAAAACCCCTCTGCTCCTAACCTTAATTTGCTCACCTGAGCTGTGTTGGCCCTAATAAGGACCAGGTAGTACTAAGACTACTCTGTGACCCCAGAGGTCCCACACTCAGCCAGCAAGAGCTCCTTAGTCACAGAGGGCACCACACACAGAGGTCCTCCTGCCCCTTAAGAAATCATTGTAACAGGGATTTTACTTCCAGGCAGTGCTGGAGTACAACTCCTACAGCACTGGACACTGATCATCAACATCAAATGATTCGGCCAGGTAGACTTCAAAACATTTCTTATTCTGCTCAGCTTACATACATGCTACAGAGAGTCAGTCCAGAGCTGTGGCACTGAGGAGGAAGCCATGGGCAATGCTCTCTGGGACATTCCCACAGGAATACAGTGTGTAGGCCAGCACACTGGAGCTACTGGCAGGCCTCTCACCAGATGCTTTGTCAGTTACCACGGGTGTCACCAGTAAAAGTTACATGCTCTGGAGCTGGGAAGTAAAGGATGAAAGTCAAGTCTAGCGTGCTTTGCCATCTCTTAACACCAAGTGGGCTTGCAGGCTATCTAGGCTGACATAAGCTGGTCAGGCTGCTGAAACAAGAAGTTCTGCCCACTCCCTGCCCCTTCATTTCCACCTCAAGTGCTTGTGTAAGTACAAGATGAACAGCACCAAGGAACCACAAACTCAGCATAACCTGATTATTCTTTAGCTGGATATGCTCCCCCATCCAAACAAAGAGTGGTTCCAGCACAAGGAGAATAGAGTAGAGAAAGATTGTTCCTTTTGCACCTGCATGGGACTTAAACATTGCAGAAGAGAGATGAAAGGCCTTTTCAGTCCACATCTTATTTAACAAAGCACCTTCTCAACACAGCCCTACACAATAAGCTTTCAACTCCCCTGTGCAAAGAATTTCCTTTCTGCTCCACGAAAAGAACAGGCATATGGTTCATGTCAGTATCACTGACAGCTTGGACCATGACAACAGCAGCCCAACCATCTCACCCCAGCACGCAGAGGGGTATGAATCAACCCAGACTCCAGCGGTCAGCTCACATTAATGCTGCTTGATGCAAGGAGTGAATCAAGCTCAAAGTCTGCCAAAGCAGAGAGTGTTAAAGACATTGTGACCAGTAATGCAGCACAATGTCGAGAAGCCTTGGAACAACAGCAGACATCTACGTTTTATTTGCTGGCTGGAGGAAAAAGACTTGGGTGAGGCACAGCTGTTTGGGGCTTGCACTGAGGAACATACCAGACAAAAGCATTTGGAATCTTTCCACATAATGGAAATGAAATGTCTGAGTTTTAAATCCCTTGTTACATTACAGGAGCAACGCTGCGTTTAACGAAATGCCTGTGTTCCAAAACGAAAAGAAAAACCTGCTTTAAATTGCACAAAGTACTTCACTCAGTCCCCTAAGATTTCTTTCAACTCTGGTTTTCTGCTTTTTTTCTCCACCAGCTAAAAGGAGTAATATTCTTCCTGCTTGTTCCCCAGGACACCAATTTCAGCCCCTAAGCACTCCGTTCTGGGCGCTGTCGGACAGCGGGTGCCCCATCCTCCTCCCAGTGCCCCGAGAGCATCCTCCGGGATGCGGTGTCACATCCCTGGAGCCGCCCCGGCCGCCGGACGCGCCCCGAGCGCGGCAGCCGCCAACCGGACCGGACCGGACCGCACCTCGGGCTCGGTGTCACCCGCTCCTCCCGCACCAGGGGACACACGGGGCTCGCCTTACCCGAGCCAGGCGGGAGGCGCTCCGGATGGCCGCCGCCACGGCCCCGCCGTCGGGATGCACCCGCTCCACGTGCCCCCACATCCGCTCCCAGGTCTGCCCGTCCATGGGGAAGCCGCTCTTGTTCACCAGGAAGAGCGAGCCGCCGTCCCGCTGCTGCTCCTGCTCCTCCTCCTCCGAGCCCCCGCCGCTCCCGCCGCCGCCGCCGCCGCCGCCCGCCGCCCGCGGCTGGGCGCTCCGCGACCGGCCCCCCTCCTTGCCGGCCGCCGCACGCCGGCTGCTCCCGCGGCCGCCGCCGCCGCCCGCCGCGCCCGTCATGGCCCCGCGGCCATGCCCGAGCCCGGGACCGGGACCGCTGCCGGGATGTGCCCCGCGGCCTCGCCGCCGCCCGGCCGCTCTGTCCGTATATCTGTGTGTGTGTATGTGTGCGCGCCTGCGAGGGGCAGGGGCGGTCTCGCCCGCTCGCTAGCGACGCCGGCCCGCTGGCTGCGGGTGCCCCGTCCCGACCCCGCTACCGGCCGCGGCCGCACAGGGGGCGCGCCCCGCGCCGCGCGCCATGCCGCGCGTTACCGCGCGACCGGCCGCCCGCCCGCCCGCGGCGCGCCCCCATTGGCCGCCGCAACAAAGAGGGGCGGGGCCAGCGGGGCGGGGCGGGCCGCTACTGGAGGAGACGCCTCCGGGAGGCGCCCCCTGCCGGACAGCCCAAGACACCACAACCGGGCGGCGCAGTCCGAGCGCTTTCGCCAGCAGCCGAACCAAACCGAGCCGAGCCCAGGTCAACCCAGCCCAGCCCAGCCCAGCTCAGCTCTGTCGAGGCCAGCCCAGTCCAGCCGAACCCAGCAGAGCCAAGCCTGGCCCCTCCGAGCCGAGGCGATCCTCTCAAGCCGACCCCAGCCCGAGCCCAGCCGTGCGTGCCGGTCCCCACTGCGTGATGGACGCCGGAGTATGAAACTCCTCATGGGAGAGAGCCCGGTTCGGTTCTTCCCAGCAGAGCTGGAAGATCCCCTGTTAAGCACTCAGCGTTGCGCTGGTGCAGTGAGATGCCGGCCTGAAGGCAAAGCGCTGCCGAGAGAGGCAGCCGGCGCTTGTGAGGGTTGGGCAGGAGAGCGCTCCGGGCCCGGGCCGAGGGCTGGCGGTGCTGCCCTCTCCAGTGCCCACCGTGCCCTGGTGGCTATGGGCACGGTCGGACGGGAACTTTCAGCATTTCACATCAAGCACAACAGTATCAGTGTAATGCATCTCCTAGAGCCAGGAGTGACCCCCCATCAGACACAAGCTGGAAAGTCTTGCTCCCGTGCCCTGCCCGTGCGCGCAGAGACTGCTGCCGCTCTGATCTCCCCTGCTCCCAGACAGGAATACATCTCTGCCGTGTCCTAATCAGCTTCCCCAAGGCTCTCAGCAGCCAGGAGTGTATGATGAGTTGCTAATCGCTCTCCACAGGAGCCGATGTCTCTGTGAGTCCTACCAGTAATCCTCCCTGCTGTCCCCTGGCCACATGGTATGCCAGAATCTCATCAGGGGGTTTAACAGAAGGGAGGACAGCGAAAAGCTGTTCCATCAGCTAAAGCAAATCAAGGGCTTCAGCTTACATGGCTTGCCCAGTGCCAGCTTCCAGCCAAGAGACTTTGGTGTAGGAAACCCTGCAAGCTGAATGTGGGGGCTCTGTGTGTAAATGGCAACACAATCCGGGGGAAAGGGATGAAGGTCAGTGTGGATTTAGAGCTGCTGTGAAGTCTTCATCCTCTCCACTATGTCCTGCATTTCCCTAATCGTCAAGCAAACGCTGCAGTTGGAGCGAAAATGTGCATCCATGCTGGACAGAGACGATAAACACACACACACAAACACACACACACACACACACACACGCACCCTGCTGGGTTTGGAAGCAGGAGCAGGATCCCAGGGGAAGCAGTCTCTCCTTCTGGAGCGCAGATGATGCTGAACATCTAGCAAGATGTGAGAGCACCAAGATGAGTTCCTGATGGAAGATGATGAAATAGAGATCCAGAGAGGCTTCAGATGGCTGCAGACACAGAGGAGAGGGCTCTCAAGGAGTCAAGGGAGGCTCAGTGCAAGAGAACGAAGGCCATGAAAGTCTGTGAGTTCACTGGAGCAGAGCCAGGGGAAAACCTGAAAATCATTCAGACCTGGATCTTAGAACTAATGGGACTGTGAGGTGGTGGCATCCATGTGTGAGCAGCTGAGGGCACGCTGCATGTGACAGAGCCTGGAGTGCTGGGATTACACAGCAGAATGTCATCCTCGAGAATGCTGATACACAAGCTGGCAGTCGTGTATATCCCAGAGCCTCGTTCCCTTATTGGAACAGGCAACCATGTTGAGGCTGTCACAGCCTTGCTCAGTGCTGCTTCACTGCCCAGAGCAGCCAGGAGCCTTCAGACTGTGTTTTCCTACTCCCACCCACTTCTTAGCCATCCTGGAAGGGTGAAGATTCGAGTGATGCTATGTGCTTTGCAGTTCAAAGTCTCCTGCATCCACCACCTCAGGGCATGCTCCATGCCAGAGGGAAGGACTCTCTGGCCAGACAGGAAAGGGGCATGGCAAGGTTTGGATACCACAGCTCTGCTCATAGCAGTCTGCAGCATTCAGAGCACTTCCAATCAGGACTGAAAGAAAGGAAATTCTTACCAGCTCCTCCCTGATGCTCAGGTGGAAGAGTGACATGTTCAACTCCCAGAGGCCAGCCAGTGTGTCTAAGGCCAGCTGTGGGCTGGACAGGGAGGGCAGAAGTTAGCTGAAATCCTGAAGCTAAAGGCAGCTTTGAAACAACAGCCTAAGGAAATAAAAGTAGAGTCACTAAGTCCCTACAACTAAGGGGAAGTCTTAATAACCCTCTTGCCAGCTACAAATTAAACGTAAAAGTAGAATAATGCTGCTTTGGATTAGCCAAAGCCTCCCTGGTATTAGTTATGAACAGACATTCAAGATGAGTAAAAGCAGAATGGGATATGCATCATGCCCCCAGTATCCAATGGCTTTCACCTCGTGGGGTCACCTAATTTTGATACTGTGACTCTCTGCAGAGCTGCCTTGCTCCCTGCCCTGTTTACACATCTTCCTCTCATCAGGTTCCTGCCCAGCCTCTGTCCCAGTGTGCCACACCTGTTTCACTTTGAAATCCAGTCACTTTTTATGGATGTACCTTCTAAAGCTAGCTCTGAGCAACACCTAAAATCTGCAGTCTTACTCCTAATGCAGAGCTCATTGCTACCACAGCTGCTTTCTGGGTCAAGGGAACTAATTTGATCATAGAATCGTAATGTAAAAGGGTTTTAACCTTCATTATTTCCAATTGCAGACTCATTTAAATGCAACATTCAAAAGGCCCTGCAGTGCAATTAGACAACCAAGTGCAGGAAACTTAATAGCTCTTAATTTGCACCATGGCAGCAAGGTGATATCAGTGTTGGCACTTTTTCCAAGCAGACTTCTTCTCCAAAGTGCCCCACAACCCCACACCCCCACAAGGAGTCCCACTGTCCTCTTCCCCTGAAAACAGCAATTGAAACATCAATGGAAAAAAAATGAAAACATCCTCTTGCAAACAGCAATTAATTCAGCCTGGCCACACAGCAAACCCTCACTGCCCTGTGATACAGAGCAGAGGAAATTCATTCATATATTTATTTGGGCTTATTTGGGAAAACACTTCCTCTATTACCCATTGTTTCCAAACAGCCCTTCTTGTGAAGGAGCCAGCAGGAGAAGGCTTTTCTGGGCAGCAGCTCCGGCCTGACCTGGCCTCAGAAGAGGGAGCTGCAGCCAGGCTGGCCCGTGCTCTGGACAACTGGTGTCATTTGCTGTCTCATGGCCTGCGAGATCTCATGCTCCTGCTTTGCTGCTTTGAAATTCGCTGGTTTTCTGCTCTGCAGATCTTTTGCCAGCACAGCTCCAGCCTTTTGTAAGACCTTTGTAAGGCCTTGTCCAGACTCTGCTATCAACAAACCTTGTTATGTGAAAATACTTCTCACTGTGAACGTGAATGCCACTCTGTGCTACCAGGGCCACAAAAAGGGCAACAAACCCAGAAGTGAAACAAGACCAGCAGCAGCACTGCAGCAAAAGATGGGCTGGTCAGCAGATTACCCTTGCCCCTGCCCTGCCCTGGCCAGATCTGGCTCTGCAGCCTTGGACCCCTCCAAGCCAGGCCATGTGGCAACTCCCTGGGTTCCAGTCCACAACAGTGCCCTTCCCAGAGCCACAGCCATGCCACAAAGCTGGCCCTGGTGAATTTGCCTTGATGCCTCTGCAGACAGGCAGAGAGGAGCTGCTCCAGCAGCCCAGCCAGCAAGGGCAGGAGACTAGTTTTGTTCCAACCCTCCTAGGAACAGATGTTTTGTGCAAGAAGGGAGCGTTCAAACCTGCTGCCATCCAAGGCAGTGTTGGGAAGCAAAAGTTTGTTATCCTTTCCTCTTTCCGTCCATCTGATGGTAATAGGACAGATCTGGATCTGGGTTGTTTCCCCAGTCAGTAAAAGTGGACACCAAGTACTCTACGCTCACTGAAGATTCCTGTACCAGTATCAGTCACTGGTGGAGCAGGAAATGTGCCCAGCACCTCCAGTTGGCAGCACTCAGTGCAAAAGCCTGAGTACATTCCCAGTGAAAGCTGATGTCTTTACAAATAATTTGATGGGTGAAGGTGTGGGTGTTAACATCTTTGAAATGGGTCTTTATGCCTCTACTAACTTTGGGCAGCAGGTTTGTTGCAGAGCTCAGCTTCTGAAACAACTGAGTGGGGGACTGCACAAGCCTGAGTTTCTGAACTTTGGGGTAAAATAGTAGGTTCAAGGGGGGAATATGTGGTAGGCAGCAGTACCTCGGCCAATGGGGAATGGAAGAGGGCAAGGTGTGGCTGGAACTTTGGGATAAAAGGAGGCTGCACCCTCCAAAGCCTCAGGAAAAAAGTTTGTGGGTGAGTGTCTCAGTGGACCCCTTTATTCGAATAAAGTTGCAGGACTCCTCTCCATTTTGGACATAAACCCCTGGCGTTTGTGGATTTTCCTGACACCAACTTGGGCACATTGTTCTGCTAAAGTAAGACCAAGTGATCTTAATGGTCTTTTCTGCATTTAGGAGCCAGCAGAGCAGCTGCAGTCCAAAGTGGTTAATCCTACAGAGGTGCTTCAGCTTTGCAGAGGGCAGCAGAAAAACATAGGTCAAGAAAGTTTGCCTGCTGTAAGTAAATTCCATTATTGCAATGCAAATATTGGCCCATTTCCTGAAAACACCAGAGTGACCTCATTTGATCCTTTGAAAGGAATATAAAATTTTTTTGTTTGGGGCTTTTTTCCTAAATTGAACGTTATGCTGGAATGGGATATTTTTAGTTATGAAATGAAAGGTCAAACTGTGATAAGGATGTAACCATGGCAATATGGGAATGGCTGTTGGTACAAGTTTGCAGGAGTGATTTGCGTAACCAATAAGAACAACTTTCTGTATTCATAAAGCTTCCCTGTGATCACTGGGAAAATAAATATGTAATGCAGACTTCTTTAAAAAAGCAAGCTATAAAAGAAATGCTTGAGGGTGTGCTTCCTTGGAGCTTTCCCCAAGGTAGCCCTTTCTGAGAACTCTTAACACCCTGTTTATTTTGCAATGGTCTAGCAGAAAAAACAGCCATCAGCTGCTTTGGCTGCACCAATGAAGAACTTCAGCAGTGTGTTTTGATTTCTGCCTGAGCAAGTCCAGGATCTCCTGCAATAATTCTACTGCAACAAATCATTACAGTGTTTATTTTAGCTAGGACTAGATGGACTCCAGTTTTTCTCAGACTAGTCCAACAGGCAAGATTTCCTTGCATTAATTTTTTTTTGTAAAAGCATAGAAAAAAAAAATCAAAGTATCATGAAAAGCCTATAAATCAGACCTTTCCCAAAATTGGCTTGCCAATTTTCACTCCCTATTGCAGGTCAGCATGTCCTAGTAACCTGACTGAGCCTTTGCTGACAGTGAAATAGCCTTTTCCATACTTCCTACAGTCACCTCACTCTGGGCTACAGCTGATGGCATCAGATGCAGGTGAAACTGTTATTTCTGAGTGGTACAACATCACCGTCCAAATTAGCCTGCCTTACTCCTCTCTGGTTCTGAAATTTCAGTCTCAAACATTGCAGTAGCTCAGGAAAATAATTACATCAATACAGTTTGTTGTGAAGGTCTTACTTGACACCACATCATGTGATTTGGTCTCTGCAGCAAGCTCTGCTTACAAAAACCAAGAAAACACTAATGTAACCTTCCATAAATATTGGCAATTTTTTTTTTTTTACTAATTACTTCTTTAACCTTTAGTCAGATGGTAAACTACCTAGCACGATTTTTTTTTTCCAGGGAAACTGCATAATAAAAATATAAGTAGTAAAGAAAGGCAGTGGCTGAAAAAAATCTGCTACCTGGAAATGAGATTACTTTTCAGCAGTCGTCAGCACCCACAGGCCTTGTCACAAGGGAGCTGACAGTGGTGGCACCGAAGGTGAGAGTCAGGACTTGCCTCCACTGCCAAGTGAGCACCTGAGTCATCCCTGCCTGGGTGGAGAGAGGAATGTACTGCAATAAAACCCTGCCTTATTGAGGTTAGAAGCACAATTGTTGTTGCTGATCAGAAATAAATTAAGCAGTCTAGTTCTGCTATGGGATAACCTGTGCCCTCTAGGAATAGTATGATGCTGGTTAGGAAACACTAGCCAAATGTTGTCCTTATGTATTAAAGTCCCTCAAATGCATTTTCCTTCCAGGAAGAAAAGTAGACTGGAAAAGTTATTAAGCCTAGCAATAGAATGTGTCACAAGCTCAAACACCAAGAGACTTTGAACTAAGATGCTGTGTGAAACCTGCAAAGAGAAATGTGTGATTTACTGTTCTCAATGCCATGGTGCTACAAGGTGTCATCATGACACTGATGATTTCATCAAATAATTTTTCATCTGAAGCATCACTTCAAGCATCCCTGGGAGACAGTGCTCTGCAGATTAAGAGTCCCCCTTTCCAGAGAATGATTGAAGAGTAATCAATATGCTGCAGAAACTTCTGAAGGTGACAGTAAAATTCAAATACCCTGGTGATTTTAAAAATAAAACTCTTAAAGGAAATACAGTAATCTGGAGCAAAATAACTTTTTTCAGCCATCTTCATTATTTGCCATTACATGAATGATAGTAATTTTCAGAGCAAACTGAAGCCTACAGAGCACCTTCTGTCTTTGGAATCAAACCCAGGAATGCTGTGCAATCACACAGCTGCAGACTTTGAGGAAACTCCCTAATGCTCTCGATGCACACAGGCATTTCAACCCTCATGAGAGTCCCACATTCTGAGTAGATGAAGTAGGTCAGAAAAAAAATCACACTGACCATTGGGCATTCTGTTCCCCAAAAGCTGGGGGACCTCTGTATCTCCGCTGGTGACAGTCTGGTTTGCTCAACTTTGCCAAGCTTCCAAGCCTTTGAGGCCTTCTCTACCCTTTTGGAGCTTCAGTGGGGCACTGACAAGATGAGAAATCATGGTATTTCTAGGCTTTAGGCAGTAGCCTCAAAGTGAATTTCAGGCTTTTAGCATTAGGGCCTGAAGAAAATTCAGCTGTTCATTGGGAGCAGAAGATAACACAAATTCAAGTCCCCTGGAGCCAGTTAATGATCCCTGGGTGAGTCATTCTTACCCCTGTGGGACAGAGCCTCTTCATTCCACACAGGATGTACAGTTCTGTCTAATGCCTGCAGGGTTGTTCAGAACCAGCTGATGAATTATTCTGAGAAAATCAAGTTGCCTTCCAATATTTAATAGAGAAAACACCATGCATATCCTTGGAAACGGTGCTGTAATATTTTAACTTCTTTTTCTCTTGGCTGCAAGCTGGACAATTTGATTTCTAAAAGAATAACTGACTCTGCATTCATCTGCAGTCCCTCTATTACCTAAACCAAACCAGTGATCAACATCTAAAAACCCTTAGGACTGTCCCATTCTGAAAAAAGACAGTGAGAACTCTGGTTCAGCCTTATGCAGGCTAGAAAAACTTCTGAAGCCTTCAATACTTCCCTGGGATTTTTCCATCTGCATGGAGTTTGTAGTTTTTGTAGAATCTTGTGTCTATTTCTGGAAACACGTAACACAAGGCCATAATAGTGACAATACACTTTAGATACTATTTACTGCCTTTTTGATGGTCTAAACACTGTTACAAGCAGAAGCAGTTTACTGAGGAAACACTGGAAATTAGCATGAATTTTAATCCCTAATAGTAAGCAGATATTAGCTTGTTACTCACAAATCAGTAATTGTGCCTAACTATTGCCAATCCTTAGCCTTTGTGACTTATCTGCTGAAGTCCTTTCTACAAAGTTCAGGATATTATTATTTTGTTTTCTGAAAAGTTGTTGTTTAACAGAACTGTAAATATTGATTTAGAACTTGGCCAGATAGGGTTAGTTCATTGTGAAGCACAGACAGAAGGAAATCCAGCCCAGGAAGCAGCTGGACTGTTGGGTATCTACCTATTTTATCCATACACAAACCACAGCACTTTCTGGAAGGGGTTAGCTTTGTTAGCTTTGGATCACAGCTATAGACATTATTATCTGGGTAACCACAGTCAGGATGGCTTCACATCTCCCATTTACCTGATGAGCTTTCCAGTGTTTTCTTTGAAGGACCAACCAGAATAAGGGAAAAAAAAACCCACCAAAACTCCAACATCCAAGAAACTTTAAGAAAATAATAATTTTTTGGGATTGTTCCTTCCTAGCTGTGGGAATGTTTAAATTGCAATGCTAAATGGGGATATTGCCTGCAGCTTTCATAAAGGTACCATAAGAGAAACATGACCTTGTGGTCCTAGTTGTAAAATGAAGGACCCATCTGAAAGTTCAATCATATTAGTGTTGCTTTATGACACAAGGCTTGTGTTTTCTGTGCTCTTACACATTTTCCTACATTAAAAGGCAGGTTATAAGGAAAAAAATGATCACTTTTAGATTAGCAGCTGTATTAGCAGCTGTCAAAAATGTTACTCTTAGCTCCAATCAATTTAGGCATTCTACTCTTTATTAGTAACATATAATGGTAAGGAATGATGCCATCCACATATACACATACATACAGTATTGCAATCAGAGAATATTCATTAAGAACTTTTAATTTTCTCTTGAAATAAAGAATTGGACACTAACAAAACCAAAACATTACAGTAAAACATATTTGTTATCTTCATGAGTAGAACAAAGACATGAGCAGTAAATAACATGGGTCTTACACAGAAATACATTTATCTTAGGAATTGTTTTTGCTTAATTCATTTTAGTTCCTGCATTAGCATCACTTCTCCCTTTTCACCACTTGGACTTCAGACCAAATGGTGGGGCTGGGCACAATCACGTATTATTGTGTACAATGACAGCTTGGGCTCCATGAAACATTAATAGCCTGTAACACTCAAGAAGGAGGTACAAACATGTCTTGAAAGAAAAGTGTAAAGGTCACACACTCCCATTCACACAGGAAAACTAGTGAGTTCACAAAATGGAAAAGGAAAAAGATAAATGTTTACAGCTTAACCTAATTTCATTTGGTTGTAAATGCACAAGGTAGTCCAAATATTTATCAAAAAAACATTTTCTCATTAAGCAATAAGGGCTGGCAGCTCTAATTACACACTCCACTGATTGTCTCTGATTGCCTTGAACAAGAGATGACCAAGAGGCTAAAGTTAGAAAAGCCCTATTGATGTCTTAAGTTTTAGCTTCCATGTTTTCCAGATTCTGTACTGCATTAGTATATAACTCTGAACTTCATATAAAGTGTTAGCAAATTCTCTTCACAGTTTAGTTGGACAAAACAATCCTTTTCCAGCCTGAGAACCAAGGGCACCATTGCAGCTTCAGGCCCAAAAAGTGTAAACAACAGTGAATTGGAGAGAGCAACCTGGGAGGATGGGACTGCATAACCTGTAGTTAGAAGCTGTAATTGGACAATTAATCCCAATGTGTAAATAGACCAAAATTTCTAAAAGTGTAAAAACGTGTGACCCATGGTCCATCTTGGGCAAAGCCATGGCCAGGCTCTTGTAGTGCCCAAAGTGTATCCTTTGAAGGCCTTTTAATAAATACCTGCTTTATTGCTTTAACATTGTCTAGCCTCTGTTCTAGGCGGCCTCTCATGGCATCTCTATTAATCTGAAATGATGCGTGTGTATTTTTGCTATTTCTTTCCTTGTTCTTTCTTCTTCATAAAACATGGGCATTGAGCAACAGGAAAAGATGTTACTAAAGACAAGCACCCATCTACAAATACTCGATCTGAGGGATTTACCTACCAGCAATTCCAGACTACGCCCTACAGGTCTGGTATTTTTACACCCAGCCAGTAGAAATGAGGGATTTAAGACCATGGTAGGAATCCTAAATAAAAATGTGTCAATGTTCTCGAGTCTTTTCCACTGAAATTACCAAAAGTTTAACGTGGCTGGGAAGAAACACAAAGATAAGAACAAATTTTAAGGCTAATCTCTGAATTTTGTAGCTGAAAGTTATCAATTGCAGAACTTGCGGGGCTCCTGGGAACTTGGGGCAGTCCCCTTGTTTATGCTCCCCACTGTGTGTGCTCTCTTGCATCCTCAAGAGCTCACCTGAAA